CGTGGGCGCGTAGTCCCACGTCGGGGATCTTCTGACCCGGGTCAATCCAGACCCGGGTCAGCAGGAAACCAAAAACTGCAATGCAGGAACGAAAAAACTGCAACGCAGATCTTCACAAATCCGGGTCAGCCAATAGGCGCGGCCGCCTCGCGGCCACGAGCGGCTCCCTAACCCGGGTCAGCCAGAGGGGGTCTTCGCAGGATCCTGCAGGATCCGGTGCCCTGTCTGACCCCCGTTTGCATCGACCCCCGTCTCAAGGCTCCCGACCGCGGCCTCGAAAGCCTGCGCCGGCTCGTCGAGGCTGCTGCTCACGCGCTCTCCGTTCTGCCCGATCACGCCCATGTTGTCGACGTACACGTAGTGCTCGATCTGCGCCCTGCCCGCCACCAACCTGAGCACCAATGGCTTCCCCGCGTCGCTGAGGGGCGCGCCGTCGCGAAGGCTCGGCGCGAACTGACAGCGGGGCTCCGTCGCGCTCTGGCACAGGCATAGGCTCCACGCACATCCCATCGGGAGAGCCTCGGGGACAGGGAAGACGACGTCGTCGTAGCCGAGCACCTTTCCATCCAGCATCGCCCCGCGGAGCCTGGCGCCCCCGGCCTTCAGGGCGGGCGCGCCGAACAAGCGCTTCATCCAGGGCGGCGGCCGCACGCGGTGGCAGGCGCCCTTCGCGTCCGCCACCCCCACCGAGAACTCCACGTCCTCGAGCGCCGCCTGGAAGGCCGCCTGCAGATGGTCCTCGGCGCCCCCGTCCTCCTCGATTTCGAACTCCGAGAGACCCTCCGCTGTCAGCAACTGCACCGACGGGGAATCCGACGAGTCTTTTCTCCCCCTTTTTCCACGCGAAAAAGATGCTCACCATCTCCGAAACCTGACGTGCAAACGACACCAGTCCACGTTTCGCGAAACCCCTCGCAAAGTGACCGCACCGCCGCCGGCTCCGCACCAGCGATGGTTCGCTGAAGGGCGCCCGCGGACAACGCTCGAGCGCCTCGAGTGCGCTCTCGTGGCCCCGCAGCACGCGCTCGCCCTGCCCCTCCACGCACTGGCGCGCTCGCCCCCGAAGCAGCTTACGAAGCGCGGGCGCCTCGGCGATGCTCTTGGGAAGCGACGGCAGCCCAGGTCGGTAGGGGGCGAGCGCGTCCTCGGGAGGGCCGCCAAGGTAAGGCGACCTCCCTCGCATCAACTCCCGCAGGGCTGAGTGCGGAGACTGCAGCCCCACGCCTCGCATCGGCTGCGCGATGTCGTTCACCTGCCCATCGATGCGCTGCGCGACGTCGAGCTGCGCGGCCGTCGCGGGCGTCGTGGAAGACCCCGCGAATGCCCCTGCCAGCCAATTGAGGCTGTCAACCGCCTCGTCCACCAGCACATCACGAAAGCGCCGCTGACGAAGTCGACACCGACCTCGCCCTGACGCCGTATGGCCCACGAGCTCCTCCCTCCCTGGCAACGGAAAGATGTCGCGAACGCCCTCCCCAGGCCACGGCCCAGGCGGTCCTGTACACTCGAGGCCGCTGGCTGGACCACGTCCAGCGGCCACCTCTTCCATCGTCATTTGTCAGCCCCCGACGCGGTCACGTCGGGAGCCTTCTTCGGCCATTTCGGCCCCTTCTTGTCGCCCTCGCAGTCGCCTTTCTCTGACTTGGGCCGCTCGGCCGCCGTGGGGCCTCGAACACGAGCGCTCAAGAACTCGGCGTCCTCCTTGGCCCGCCTGGCACCGAAGCTGCGCAGCTCAGGCGCCACCGCGTCTCCAGGGCCCGTCTCGCCTGCGAGGTAGCGGGCCATCCGCCAGTTGGCTGGAGCTCCAGGCACAGAGTGGGCGTCGGTGATCACCTGAATTCGCCTCGCGAGCCTCTCCAGCGACCGCAGACCGCCCAAGTTCACCTGGTCGTAGGTCCCTGCAAGCAGCAGGGCGTGGCAAAGAACCTCCAGCTCGTGGTAGATCCGATCCGTGTGCTCGATGCGGTGCTCTCGGCTCCGGTCGGCCAGCCAGCGCATCGGGTCGCCCCCGCTCTTGTACATGGCCTTCGCCAGGTGGGCGATCGACACGGGCCCATCGATCGGGTCGTCGGGGAAGCTCTCGGCCGTGATCTCGCTCACCACGCTGCGCCAATCCTTGAACCTTTCCCCGTGCCCGTGGAAGTCCACGCTGAGGGTCCTCACGTCGTCTACGCTACTGGTCGCTCGACGCTCCTCACGACTGCCAGCCTCGCCCACAGTCTCGCTAGTGTTCAGCCCGAGCTGGTCCTTCACTCCCTTTTCCACCGATCTGTCGACCTGAGGCTCCAATACGTCTATGGCTCGGCGCAGGCGCGCTATCTGCTCGATGGCCAAGGCGGGTGCACTACCGACACCCACTCGACGCAGTCTAGACACCTCCGAGCCCATGAACTTCAGCCCGTCGCTGCCAGTAATCACGTCCGTCGGTGTCATGCGCACCTCCTCGCCTATGGCCCGTCCGCCGCCTGGCTCCATCAGCACCCAGATCGTGCCGGAAGGGGGTGAGGCGTCCACCAGCTGAGCCAAATCACCTCGAGGTGCACGCAGAACAGCCGACAGCTCCGTTCGATGACCGTCGTCCCCGATAACGAACTTTGGCCATTGCTCCAGCTTCTGTCCCCTCGCCGTCTCGACGTCGCGGCACCCCTTGCTTAGCGTCATGATCTGCTCGTGACTCGGCCTCTCCCTGAACTTGTACAGCTGCCGAGCGCCAAGCAACGGGTAGCCTACGTTAGGCATCGGCCGAGCCCCGCTGGGGCCCGTGAGATGATCTTCTCCGTCGAGACGCTCCTTCCACACGTCTCCGCCGGGAGAGAGAACCCACCAGACTTCGTCGTCCTCTATGTCCGACCCGTCTTCGCACACACCTCGAGCTGGCCACAGCAGATATCTCTCGTGATCCACGTCATCATCTGAGTAGCTCACGCGGGCCCGCGAGCCCACGGCCGCCTCACACCAGAACGCCTGCTCCCCAGCGGCGAGGCGCAACGGCACGTGAGTTCTCGCCATCTCTCGTCGCCGTCTCTGTCCTCACTCCCCGCCGCGCCTGCCACACGTGCCACGCGGCGCTGCCGAGCACCTGCCCCGTCCACCACAGCAGCGGGCCGCGCTCCCAGCCTGCTGGGAGCTCGGGCGCGGGCGCGGGGCACTCCTGCGCAGCAGGCTCCCAGGCGGGGCACTCGGCCGCTGCCCACGGGGGCGCCCCAACCGCCCACGCGGCCGCTGGCGCGGCAGGCTGTGGCGGCGGGGGCGGTGGAGGCGGCGCGGCCGCGCTCGCAGTCCAGTTGCGAGCCGCCGCCAGCTCGCGCCCCCGCACCGCCTGCGAGAGCTGCTCTTGCACGAGCTCGCCGAGCTGCAACCAGAGAACCAGCCACAGAGGAAGGTTCGGAGGCGCCTGCCACTGCATGGCCTGAGAACCAAGATGGGCTGCGGTCGCAATGCTCCCTGCTAATCGTTGGCAGGCGACACCCCGCTCCCCGCTTAATCATATCCGTGCACGCACCCCCATCATCATCATCATCATCATCATCATCATCATCATCATCATCATCATCATCATCATCATCATCATCATCATCATCATCATCATCATCATCATTTTCCTATTATTCCTGGCTCCTCCTCCGCACCACCACCACCATCATCAGCATCATCATCAGCATAATCATCATTAACGCCACCAACATCACCATCACCATCACCATCACCATCACCATCACCATCACCATCAGCATCATCACCATCACCATCATCAGCAACATCATCATCATCATCATCATCATCATCATCATCATCATCATCATCATCATCATCATCAACATCAGCATCAGCATCAGCATCATCGTCAGCATCATCATCATCATCATCATCATCATCGTCCTCATCCTCGTCCTCATCTTCGTCCTCATCCTCGTTTTCATGATCCTCCTCGCTCCTCCCTCCTCATCCTGCTCTTCCTGCTGCTCCTCCTCCTCCTCCTCCTCGTCCTCCCTTCCTCCTCCTTCCCATCCTCCCCATCCTCCCTCCTCATCCTCCCTCCTCCCTCCTCCCTCCCCCTCCTCCCGCCTCCCGCCTTCCGCCTGCCGCCTCCCTCCTCCCATTAGTCGTAAGTCGTCCGTTGTCGGCGTCGAGGTCGCCATCGTCGCCGTCGTCGCCGTCGTCGTCGTGTCAACCACCAGCATCTGGAGCGCCTCGGATCGGCGGCACTGGCTGGATGCCGTTCAAATAAATCATTTCACACCACCGGCACGCGCACGGTGACTGTGGAATGCTTTGTCACGGGCGGGCATGTGGCCTGCATGGTTTCATGTGACGCAGTGGCAACACATAATATGGTTGTATCATGATTTCATGGACTGCGCGCGCACTGAAAACTGGCATTTCGATATTGAGACATCACTGCGCTTAGCAACTATAGCTTGAATGTGCTTGCAACAATATCGAAGAACATTGGCATGTACGCGCGCGCGTGGCCCGCAGACGTGACAACGACGCATTGACAACACACCTGTTAGATCAAAACGAACGCTCCGCATGGTGGTACTTGACAGGGATGAACAGAGGGGGTCGATGGAGCCCTGGCTGGGATGACAATCGTGCAAAATACATATGACAAGTCAGTGCGCGGAACCGGGTCTTCAAATCAGGCTTCGGCGTGGGGGAACGCCATGTTGTTTTTGAAATTGTGTGTGGTGCGAGAGGGGCCGCGACGGGCACGGGCGCCCACCTGCCGAAATTTCGGAACCGCCAGCCAAAGGACGTCGCGGGCACAAGGCAAGCACGGCCGACCAATGGCCGAGAGTCTGGAACGCCGGCCACCGCACGTGGCGGGCACGAGACGGGCACGGGCGCCCACCGGACGAACAAGGGGAACTCGTGGTCATTAATTTAGGAACGCAAGTGCGAGCTTCTAGAACCTGTGGTGTAGAAGCTGTTTGGGGGATGTAACTTACACCCCAAACGACATTAGTCTACTCAGCATCCCTCTGCGCCCTCCCTTCCATAACTGTGGACATGAGCCAGGGCGGACGACATAGCTGCCAGTGTCTCGACGGCCTGCACTTCTCTGCCCCTTTTGCACGCGCGGGGTCCAAACGGGTATCGTAGGCGTGATCGTGTGCGCACGTAGCGAACAATTGCATGCGTATTCCCAGCATGCTTCCAATTGGCCTCATCCCTCCATCGACTTTCTTGTGCGTTTCTTGTAACACGGCAGAACAAACTTCGACTCACACTTTCGAACAAGCAACCTCGCCCGCGTCTTCCTCGCCACATCCGACCTTTCGCTCGGCTATTGCCCATGTCACAACCTCGAATCTACCCTCGCACTCCTACTTTCGTACCAGCCTCTCTATCTCGCCCTGCTGTCTGTGCTTGATGCTTCGCTGGCCATGCCGCTCCGTTCTCCAAATATAATCGACACTGGTTCGCCACACTTCGCTCACGATGCAGCAGGTGTGACGGCTAGCTCTATGTTGTGCTTCGGTTGCCGTCTCCTCACCTCCTGCTGTCAACAATTACATTCAATGTGCAAATCCAATCTCGAGATTGTGAATCAATCTTTCTGGTCGCCTGCCTCCGCCTCTGGAAGGCATGGACAGCAACATCTTATTCCAAAAGACGCGATGCTGTCCTTCTCGATGGCCTCCCAATTTCGCTGATACCCCAAGAACGAACGTTCTACGCCCTCGACGATCTCTCGCCCAATGCTGCGGGTTGCAGACCGGTTCTAGTGCTCGCGCGAGTCCAATCTCACAGTTGCCATCTCTTCGAGCTTAAGACTTAGCATTCATCTCGGAACGGATTCGCGCACAAAAGAACTGATCAGCTTCACACGTCGCCCAAGGAAGCATGGCCCCGATCGCACTCTTCGGCTTCTCAGACTACATCTTCTGCCCGAACAGTTCCCGAAACACTCCCGACAGCGCGTGGGTCGATTTCTCAAACTGGGTCCATATGCCCTTGCTCAGAAGGGACAACCCGACTGTGCAGGCGGATTAACACTTAACACCATGCACCGCCGCCACCACCTGTTCCAACAACTTTCTGCGAACTCCTCCGTCTAACCACCACCATGCCGTAGGCACCGAGTGGAGTGTCCTCAGCTCCCTTCGTCTTGCAGTCTCCCAGGGCCCAAAAGTCACAAACCCTCCCAAGCGCTCCTGGGGCGGCTCACGAACTTTGCTGGAGGCCTCGAAAGCGCGGTGGAGAATCCATGCTTCCACCACGGCCTAAGATGATCCCAGGGATCGTCCTGAAGCCCTCTGGAGCCGCCTTGAAAGCCCTCGGCGCTGACCCAATAAGCCAACATCACTGTAACACACACACACACACACGCACACACGCACACACACACAAACGCACACATACACATACATCCACAATGCACCAAGCGCAAACCCACCCACACACCCACACCCACCCCTAATCCCCACCCCCACACACACTCCCCCCAAACCACAAATGCACACACATGCGCACACACACACACCCATACACCAACCCACCCACGCACGCAAACACGCACGCACCCATCCACCCACCCACCCTCCCACATACCCACACACGCACACACCTACACACAATTGTTGAGCGTTCGCGGGCAGGAGCCACTCCGTGCTTGATGGAACACAAAGGCGCACGCACGCACGCACGCACGCAAAAACGCACACAAACACACAAACACACACACACACACGCACGCACGCACGCACGCACCCACGCACACAAGCACACACACACACATAAACACACATAAACACACACGCACACACAGACACACTCACAGACACACACACACACACAAACACAGACACACAGACACGCACACACACACACACGTCTGCACGCACACGCAAACGCAAACGCACACGCACACGCACACGCACACGCACACGCTCACGCATACACGAACATACCGTCTAACGCACACACCCACACACACTACCACACACGCACTAACACATACTCTCACACACACACACGCACGCACACTAACACACACACACACACAAACGCACACACACGCACGCACGAACGCACACAAACACACACACACACGTACGTACACACACACATACACACACGTTTGGCGATCCCGGCCTCGCGCGCAAGCGGCGAGGCGGAGAACACGCACCCGAAGAAAACAGAACCACGCGTGGCCCCACACACACTCACACATAAACGCGCACACACACCCTCACACACCATGCCGCACCACTCCACACCACACCATACCGTGCCACACAGAACACACACAGCACACACACACACACACTATTCACACACACACACGCACACACAACTCGCACACACAAACACGGACACAACTTATGAGCTTCGGTGGCTTTCGCCTTCTCGCCTGTTCGGTTCAAAGAGCGCCCAGAAAGCCGAGCGCCAGCACGCACCGAAGATCGCCTCAGGACGGCCCCTGCGGCCCCCAATAGGGCAAGAGGCCCCTGGAGGAGGAACACGATCTGACATTTCGAGCCCTTCCGCCTCAGGATGGCCCCGAGAGCACGAGCAGGCTCCAAAGGACCCTATATAGGCCCCCCGAGAGGCCCCAACCGACTTCCAATACTTAGGCCCCCAAGAGGCCCAATGGAGACCCCAAGAGGCCCCAAGGGACATCGAAGAGGCCTCTAGTCCACAACTCAGGCACGGTGGCTGGCTGGGCCGGGCGCTACCTACGAACTTGTCCCAAGCCTCCTGGAATGGGTATTCCTTTTGAATAGACCACTGCTCGCGCGTCCTTCCTTCCTTCCTTCCTTCCTCCCGCCTCCTGCCTCCCGCCTCCTATATCCCGCGATACCTCGCCGTCCCTGGGGGGGGGGGGGGGGGGGCTGCGATCAGCGAAATTGTCGACACTTTCGAGGGCTGCTGGTGGGTCCAGCGGAGTGAGGCACCGCGCAGACCTGAGCGAGACCTCGCCGTCCCTGGGGGGCTGCGATCTGCGACACGGTCCCCACTTTCGAGGGCTGCTGTGTGGTCCAGCGGAGTGAAGCACCGCGCAGACATGAGCGAGACCTCGCCGTCCCTGGGGGGGCTGCGATCTGCGAAACTCTCGCCACATTAGAAAGCTGCTGGTGGGTCCAGCGGAATGAAACACCGCGCAGACCTGAGCGAGACCTCGCCGGGCCGCTATCTGGGAAACTGTCGCCACGTTCGAGGGTTGCTGGTGGGTCCAGCGGAGTGAGGTACCGCGCAGACCTGAGCGAGACCTCGCCGTCCCTGGCGGGTTGCGATCCGCGAAGCTGTCGAAAGAGCGAGGCGAGGCGAGGCGAGGCGCCGGTCAGCCGTCCCGGCGGGGACGGCCCTACGAAGGCCCGGCGGTGGCGCCGGAACGCCGAGAAAAAACCTCAGCAGAAGGGGAAGGAGGGAGGAAGAAGAAGTCAGACCGTGAAGTGGGAGTTTCGCACACTATCTCCATAATTCACGTAAGGCTGAATTTTTTGTTCCAACGTCGACCATGCTTTCTTGTCCGTCGCAATGTGTATCCACCTTTTGTGGTCGTCGTCTCCCTCGTGTGTAGTGACAGTGCGTACGAATTGTGTGATTTCGGCATCCCATCTTTTTAGTTGTCCTCCGTGTCGTCGTAGGGTTTGGCGTGGGTCGTGGGTGTTTGGGGTCCATTGTAGTGAGAGCCGCGTCCATCTGTCGTAGTCGTGGGCTGCGACGCGCGATGCCCACCGCCACTTTCGTGTGAAGTATGCCGTGGGCCAGTCCTCTACGCCTGCGCGCCGAGCGTGCTCTAGGGGCGTGCGTCGATGTTCGTACGAATTCTTCCCATGGTACCAACCCGTCGTCCTCTTCTCCGTCGTCGGCTCTGTCGTGGTGGATGGGGGAATCTGCTGCGTCGGCGCTGGTCGCTTCGTCGGTGTCAGTGTCGCGAATGTGGTTGTGTATATTGCGACGCCTTGGCATCCCGCTGACAAGCCTGAGCATCCTCCGCTGTGCACGCCGTAAAGTGAGAAGCGTGTCGCTGGTGAGGGTCCAAGAGGAGCACCCGTACATCACTGATGATGTGATTGTTCCGTTGAACAGCCTCAGTCGACTGTGGAGTGGGATACGCTCGTGTGTCAGCTCGTATCTTAATTGGTTGAAGCGACCGCAATCTGCGGCACTCCTATTGCATATCTCTGTCTCGCGGAAGTCGTGGAAAGTAAGCTTCGCCCCTAAATACTTCGTGCTCTGGTCGGGGCGCAATATTTCGATGCGTTCGCCGTTGATGTCAACATGAGAAATTGTTCTCCCCTCTGTCCGGCTGACGCTCGTCAGGATATTGGTTTTGTCCGGGTGCAGTGCCAAACCGCAGATCTTGGCTTGGGATTGTACATCCCGGAGCAAACAGGAAAATTGTCGTAAGTTGGGGGCGTAGAGCAAGACATCGTCGGCGAAACGTAGATTTGTGTTCCGTGCTAGTGGCGCGAGGCCTAGTTGGATCCCGGAGTTCTTGCGCTGCCACTCAGGTTTCATTTGTCTGAACACCTGCTCGAGGACAGCATTGAACAAGAAAGAACTCAGTGGGTCTCTCTGCTTCACGCCACGTTCGATACTGAAAGCCTTGCTGGTGGTGTCTGTCCTGAGTGTTGCCGTTTGGGTGCAGTACAATTGTTTGAAACATTTATGTATGCAGGAGGTACGTGCTGTTGTCGCAGAGCTTCCCATAATTGCTCGTGGTCTACACAGTCGAACGCCTTCTTAAAGTCGATCGCTGCTGCCCACAGCGGTAGCTGCCACTCGTAGGGACTCCATGTAGCATGGCAGTGGTGAACAGGTGGTCCTCCGTGCAATAATCCTTCCGGAAGCCTGCTTGGTCAGGGCACTGTTGCAAGTCGAACAGGGAGTTGAGACGGTTGCAAATGAGGCGAGACATCAATTTGTAGAGGTAACGGCAATCGGTTTGCAATTGCCTGGGGGTTGTGGGTCTCCTGATTTGTAAAGTACGGTAATTGCGGTGGTCTTCCACTGGTCCGGTGGTGTCTGATTAGGTTTGATGATGTCGTTGTAGAGTCGGAGTAGGTGGTATTGTATGGTCGCGCCCCCAGCTTTCAGCATTTCTGCTGTGAGCCCCGCGGTGTCTTTGCACGTGTCGTTCTTAAAATGTGTGATTGCTTGCTGGAGTTCGGTTGCGGTGAAAGGTGGGATGGTTGAGTCGTGCTGAGTTGTCATTGTGGTCTCGCGGAAGCTGTCTGAATGGTGCGGATTCTTGTATAGCTCCTCGTAGAAGGTTGCGAATACGTCTGCTATGCTTTGCCTGTGTGTCTCCTCAGTGCCATCAGGTGTTTTCATTGATGCAATTCGCTCTTTGTGCTTGATGACTTGTACTTCGGCCTTTGAATTGGCAAACGATGTGTTCGAGTTTGGCGTTCATCTCATTGCGTTTGATGGCCCTTGTCTGCCGCATGATTTGCTTGCTGAAGGACCTTCTGGTAGCTGGGTCCTTTGGTGAAGTAGTGCGTCGTTGCTAGATGAGTGCTTTGAGCCGCGTTGTCGGGCCGTCGTCGGGGATATCCGGAAGGTCTCTGGTGCTTTTCTCGTGGCGCTCCTGGTAGTCCTTGTTTGCAAGCTTGAGCCCTTCTCCAATGTCCCGGCATCTGCTGTCCAGGTCGGCGTCGTGGTGCTGGTTTGCCAAATGCTCTTGAAGGCACTGCTGGACGAGAGGGTCGTCAGCTGCAGGTTGGGAGCGCCTGTGGTGGCGCGTTTGCTTGTCTCCTGTTCCTTCTCGCCGTAGTCCTGAAAGCCAACTTGATGTGCACTGCTTGGTGGTCGGAGCCGAGATCTGGGACGTTCGAGGCAAACGAATGAATCACCTGGTTGCGGCGTGCTCTGTCTATCAGGATGTAGTCAATGTGTGTCTGAGTTGGCTGTTTGCCACTGCTCGTGTAAGTGAAAAGGTTGTGGTGGTGCTTGTAGATGAGAATGTTTGCACTGATCATCTTACGTGTGTAGACCAAGTACGGAACCATGTTCCACGCGGGCTGCACGCGCCCTGTCCTAATTTGCCTACCGTGCTTCCCCGGCCCAAGATCTCGGATCGTTCGTCGTCGTCTTTGCCGCCGTCTTTATTGTCAAGGTGTCTACCAACCTGCGCATTGAAGTCCCCCGTAATGATGCATGTCCGCTTGTCTTGGATAACGGCGGCGTGCAATACATCCAAATGGTCGTACATGTGCCGGTGGATGTGAATGTCTGCGTATCCAGAGTGAAGGAAATACGCCGTCACGGCTTTCATGTTCTGTTCTGGGATACCGTTGTCGATATAGGCGATTCGCGCGTTGACGGCCTCGAAGCATCTGACATGCCGGACGCGTTGCTTATGAACGAGAAATGCAACTCCTCGCGACGTGTCTGTGTTGCCGGATGCTGCAAACAAGTGGTTGCCACGGCTTGTGATCCACATCTCGCGAGATTCAACTCTCCAAGTCTCGTTGATAGCACGAACATCCCAGTGTACGTCATTCAATTCATGCAACAACTCATCTAAGGAATCGTCCGTTGTAAGACTTCGCGCATTCTTGTGGATAATGGTAAATGGTTGGGGTGACGATGGATGTGATGCTCGATTTTGCTGATTGTGCTCTTTCTCGTCGCCGTCGTTGCTTTCCCGTGGGCGATTTCGGCGCATGCTGATGGGAACGTCACCATCCGCCGTGCTATGTTTTCATCGTCCTCCTCCAGTGCTTCGTGAATTGGTCTGTGTAGGTGGAAGCGTGGAGTCGGGTGACGGAGGCTGAAGGTCGGAATGCTGTGATGGCACTGGCTGGACGTCGATTCGTGGAGGTGGAAGTGGAAAGTCGGATGCTGAAGGCCGGTGGTCGGGGTGCTGAGTTGGTGGATGCCGGATGCCGATAGATGGAAGTGTTGTTGTGGACTCGGTTGCTGGAGGCTGGTGGTCGACAGGTGGAGGTAGAGGTGGAACGTCGGATGCTCGAGGCTGGAGGTCGGTGTGCAGAGCTGGTTGACGCTGGAGGTCGACAGGTGTAGGTGGAAGTGAAAAGTCGGCTTCTGGAGGGTGGACGTCGGGGTGCTGAGCTTGTTGACGCTGCAGGTCGATGGGTGGAGGTGAGGGTGGAACGTCACATGCTGCTGGAGGCTGGGGGTCGGAGTGCTGAGCGGCTGGACGCTGGACGTCGATAGTCGGAGCTGGAGGTGGAAGCTTGGATACTTTAGGCTGGAGGTCGGAGTGCTGAGCTGGTCGACGCTGGAGGTCGATGGGTGGAGGTAGAGGTGCAAAGTCACATGCTGCCGGAGGGTGGAGGTCTGAGTGCTGAGTTGCTGGACGCTGGTTGTCGATAGCTGGAGGTTGAGGTTGAGGTGGAACGTCGGATTCTGGAGGGTGGAGGTCGGAGTGCTGAGCTGGTCGACGCTGGAGGTCGATGAGTGAAGGTCGGGGTGGAACGTCACATGCTGCTGGAGGGTGGAGGTCGGAGTGCTGAGCTTCTGAACGCTGGTTGTCGTTAGCTGGAGGTGGAAGTGGAAAGTCGGATGCTTGAGGCTGAAGGTCGGAGTGCTGAGCTGGTCGACGCTGGAGGTCGATGGGTGGAGGTGGAGGTGCAAAGTCACATGCTGCTGGAGGGTGGAGGTCGGAGTGCTGAGCTGCTGGACGCTGGTTGCTGACAAGTGGAGGTGGAGGTGGAGATGGAAAGTCGGGCGCTTGAGGCTGAAGGTCGGAGCGCTGAGCTGGTCGACGCTGGAGGTCGATGGGTGGAGGTGGAGTCGGAACGCTGTCGCCACTTTCGAAGGCTGCTGGTGGGTCCAGCGGAGCACCGCGCAGACCTGAGCGAGACCACGACGTCCCTGGGGGGAAGCTGCGATCTGGGAAACTGCCGCCACTTTCGAAGGCTGTTGGTGGGTCCAGCGGGGTGAGGCACCTCGCAGACCTGAGCGAGACCTCGCCGTCCCTGGGGGGCTGCGATCTGGGAAACTCTCGCCACTGTCGAGGGCTGCTGGTGGGTCCAGCAGAATGAATAGTGAAGCACCGCCCAGACCTGAGCGAGACGTCGCCGTCCCTGGGGGGGGGGGGCTGCGATCTGGAAAACTGTCGCCACTTTCGAGGGCTGCTGGTGGGTCCAGTGGCACAGTGAGGCACCGCGCGGATCTGAGCGAGACCTCGCCGTCCCTGTCGCCACTTTCGATGGCTGCTGGTGGGCCCAGCGGAGTGAGGCACGGTGCAGATCTGAGCTGGACCTCGCCGTCCCTGGGGGGGCTGCGATCTGCGAAACTCTCGCCACTTTCGAGGGCTGCTGGCGGGTCCAGCGGAATGAGGCACCACGCAGATCTGAGCGGGACCTCGCCATCTCTGGGGGGCTGCGAGCCTCACGAATGCCGCTCGCAGAATTATATGTGCCCATGTCACGTCATCACCTCTGCGTAACGTGTCCCAGGCTACTTGTGCCCCGCATTGCGCAAGACTTGGGTACGTCGCGAGGGTAATATCATATCTCTCTCTCTCTCTCTTTCTCACTGCCTCTCTCCCGCATGTTCAGTCTTCCAACTTCACTGTTCCGTTTTCTTAGCCCTCGTCTCGTTGCTTCTCCTTCCTCCCTCTTCTCGTCCTCCCTCCCTCCCGCTATCCTGTCTCCTATACTTCCCCATCATCCTTCCGTTCTTCGCCCTCTTTCATCCTCCGTGGGAAAAACAAAAGAAGAATGGGTCTGTGGTGTCGGGTTGAACCGGATGTAGATGTAGGGTGCCGCATGGCTAGCCGTTTCCCCCTGGTGTAAGCTTCATGCGGCCTGAAGACGGTCCAATCTTCGTTCACGGGCGCAAGGTGCATGAGAGCCACGCCGTGTGGAGCACAACTCCACTTTACCCCCTGTGGTTCTGCGGATGTTGGGCCGAATATCAACCCCACGATATGGGGTGCTCCAGGAAAGATCCTCACCTTCGGCGGACTGTCTTCCATTCCTCGGCGCCAAGCCGGAAGAAATACATCAGGGGCGGCCTTGCAAGCGGAAGCTTACGGAAAGCCTGCGGAAGCAAACGTCGGCAAGCTGTGTTGGATCCCTTCTGGAACGAACCAGGTGTGCATGGCGGCCTGCACGGCGCAGCGACCCGCACGGCCTATAGCCGCGAGGCACTGGGGGGGCCTCCTCCAGGGAATATATACACCCCATAATGAGTGCTTTCCATACGCGACGCCCACACATCCCCGTTGAGGCTCGCGTCACGGCGACGACTGGCACATCGAAAATTGTAGAAATATCGTGCTGCGTGGTACGAGCCCCCATGCAATCACTCGACATGAGACAATAAAACACAGTGAACGTCGCACGGCAAGACAAGTGAAACATGTGAAACATCACGACCGGGAAGGAACGTCGTGCACACAACGCCAAACGGTAAGACATGAGGCCAGAAAAGCATTGAACACGAACGAAAACGGTAGAAAAGGGGAGGGGCGAATGAGTGAACATAATGCTAAACAACAATTTCAGGGTGGTGTGCACTGAAATGTAGGTCGGGACGTTGGCCCATCATCCATGTCTGCAAAATGCACAGAAATCTGCTGTATAACGGGCAGGTCAAGCGGCAGACCCTAACGAGATGGCTGGACGGGTCCGACGGGCGGACCCTGACGGGCAGGTCGGGCGGGCGGGCCCTGACGGCCAGGTCGGGCGGGCGGGACATTCAGACGGGCGGGCAAATGTCCAAACAATCGACCTGGCGGTCCCCAACGGGCGGGTCGGGCTTGCAGATCCTGATGGGCGGGTTGGGCGGGCGGGCCCTAACAGGCTGGTAACTTGCAAAGATGCCCTGAACGAGAGCGCGATTCCGGAATAACATGTGAGGATGTCGCAGGCGAGAGCCGATGTTATTGTAGCTGGGGGCCCACAAGAACGTTGGACCCTCAGTACTTTCGCTGGCCAAAGACAGGGTGCGAGCGTCGGGGGGGAGAAGTTCAACCTGAAAGCCCAATGCGCACCGAATCGGGGGGATCAACAACACTTACTCTTCAGAAGTGATGGCCCCCAAGTGGGAAACGGGGGGGAGGGGGAGGCTGTGCCAGTCTTCTGCATTCGCGTAAGCTGACCCGTGCGGGAGGACAACTCTTGCCATGGCCAGCGCCCCGAGGCGCACGGGGCGGCGGCTGCGAGGAGTGATGACCCTGGTAGCTCGTGCTCGTCTTGCTACTTTCCGCCTCCTCAGCCCCAGTACGGGTCGGGCCACGCCTGATACACATCGGCGGCTCGGGAGGGCAGACAGATACGCTGGTAGCAAAGTCTCGCCAAGAGCCTCGGAACTGCTACGTATGGTATCGCCTCGACTCGCCTTCTGCGGCGAACCTTGGCCCAGACGACTCGCTGGACACATTGAAACAAACCATGCTAGTTTCACTTCCCGCGCACCCCCCCTTGGCAGCACCGGCCGGGCTGCGTCGAACGCCCGCTCCAAGCGTGCGAGCAGGGTGCCTCCGTTGCACAGCTCGAATAAGGAAACCGCTTCGGTGGTGGCCTGGCTCGGCTTCAAGAGGGGATAAGGCAAAGTCAGGGGCGTCAGCAGAGAATCTGAACACCTCTGCCAATATAACCTCCGTCCATACTGTCCGCATCTAGCCCCCATAGATGGTGCCCCGTCCAGGCCCGGGATGGGCAACTCGAAATGCAGGGTTGTATTCCCATAGCAGCAGCCAAAACCCGATAAGGAAATTCGAAAATGGAACTGACGACGGGATATCCGTTGGGACAACGTCTCCATCCATCAATCGCCCTCTTTTGGTTCATTTATCGGTCCCGCTATGTATACACTTGTATATCCACCCAGTGACCTACCCATCGACAACAACATCTATACGTGATATGTTGGGCCTTCATCTGCCTATGAGAATCTCTGTCAGAGGATCTGAATGCCAACTACTGTGTTGACCTCTGTCTGTATTCACTATCTGTATACCGATCCAATTGACAATCAATCTACCATCGGTACAACCATTGGGGCAACCATCGGAACAATCATCGGGACAACAATCGGGACAGATATCGGGACGGCCATCGGGGCAACCTTCGGGACATCCATCGATGTGAATGCCACGCCCAACCGCCTCCCCCTCCTCCCCCTCCCCCTCCTCCTCCTCCTCCTCCTCCTCCTCCTCCTCTTCCTCCTTCTCCGTTCTTTTTCAATGTATATAACGCCTCCTTGTCGCGTCACCGGACGTGCCAGTAGGCTGGGCCACGCGCGTCGCGTGAGATTTCGTCGCCAATTCGGATCCTGAAACTTGAAATTCGCAACAGCTTCAAGGATGGAGCACGGGTTGGTTGTTTTCAAAATGAGGTTCTCACTTTGCCGCCGCGAGGTCGTCGTTTTAAACACTTGCGTTCGCTTCCCGGATGGATGCCAGCTCGTTTCCCGCATGTGCCTCTCGCCTCGCGCGCGCACACCCAACCCACACCATCCTATGCAAAACACAAAAGCTGGCGCACATCCACCCGGCCCGCCCAACCCTCAGCATTGCTTTCCAAGAATGCAAGCCTGCGAACATACATGCGACCCAGTCCTCACCATCCTGCGTCAAACCAATTACCTGGCACGCATCCGTACGACCCAACTCTTAAAACTCTATGCGGACCACTTAAAATGGTCTGTGCACGCCCGTCCGACCCAACCCTCCAATATCCGATGCTCCATGCTTACCTCAACGTACGTCCACACGACCCAACATTCATCATCCGATATGAAATTGGTATCGGGTGCACATCCACAAGATCCAACCTTCAACATCCGATGGAACAAATGCATACCGGTGCGTATCCACGTGGCTCAACCCTCACCGCCCCATGTCAAACACCAGATTCGGTGCGCATCTGCTGATCTTCAACTTCGGCCCACCCCCTGGCCCCGAAGACCCCCTAGCACAAACGGCGAAACACATCAATACACTGATAGCAATGACATAACAAACTGATGCGTTTCGGGCACCCCTCGCCGATTCCGATTTGGGGCCCGAGCGCTCCCCAGGCTGCCCCAGGCGCTCCCAGACGCTCCAAAACGCTGCCCGGCGTTACTCGACGCAATAATCCATTCCCAAGCGCTTCCAGGCTCGCCGTCGGCACCAGCAGCAACAGCATCCACATCCTCATGCTCATCGTCCTCGTCGCCGCAGGAGGTCTCAAGGAACATATGAATTTAGATCGCGTCGACGCGTGGACCACAAACGGTTACACAATGGGGCTTTCGCTTTGCTGGAGCCGCGCACCATCGTCCTACACAGGGCTGGCCGTTTCAAAAAGGGGATCGCCCTGGCGCCGTGCATACTCGGCTTCCAAATTTTCCTGAACTGCGCGGTGGATGGCGAGTCTTTTCCAAGACGGGGGGGGGCATTGGACCAGCCAGTGGAACTCCAATCGTGGATCGGTCCTTCATCAGATAAGGGAGCCTCAAGAGTCTGCAGCCTCCTGGTCACATCCCTGAAATCTCCCCTTGGCCTCGCGCGCATTCGAATACAAAGTCCATCATCCACACTAGAAAGACCCTTCCTCGACCTCTACGACTCAGCGCTCCCGTGCAACAACTAACGCAGATGGGGGGCGGCTTCTCTTTCGAAACGGGGATGTCGCGTGAGACTTCCGCGAAGCAGACTTCCACGACTTGAACACCCTGTAACGCTTGGACGCATGGATGGGGACATCATTAACAAAATGAATACTTGCCGATGCCTCCTTGAAGAACTCTCGCGTGGGACTTCTGCAGAGAATACGCCCAAGACTTCGACATCCTGCCATGCATAAACGGATGAAAGGCATGTGCTTCTCAAAAGGGTGCTATCCTGGGCGTCCTTCAACTGGAAGGGGGATCCTTTACAACAGGCGCCCTCGTCTGACTGGCGGACTGGCTGGCCGTTCGTCATTCAAGGGGAGCGCGTGGCCCCCAGTAGCAAGGCAGATTGCACGGACTTATGAGGGAGCGACTTGGGACAGGAGGGTGTATTGCAGCATCAGTTGGTGCCTCTTGGCATTTACTGTGGTCCTCCTCGGCCTCCTCCACCCCCTCCTCCCTCTCCTCCTCCTCCTCCTCCTCCTCCTCCTCCTCCTCCTCCTCCTTCCTCTCCTCCTCCTCCTCCTCCTCCTCCTCCTTCCTCTCCTCCTCCTCCTCCTCCTCCTCCTCCTCCTCCTCCTCCTCATCCTCCTCCTCCTCATCCTGTCCTCGTCCATTTCGGCAAAACTCTCATACGTTTCCTGAGCCCAACCGATGGTCATACTGGGTGCGTCCGCATGGCTCCGTCGCGCGCCTTTCGACACACACATCGCAGGCTTCCTGCCTTCCAAGGGGCTTCACCGAGGGCCCCGGCGGGTGCACCCGCATGCCGCCGCCGCGCCCATGTTGGCACACCCTTCGCAAGTTTCCTGCCTTCCAAGGAGCTCCACCGAGGGCCCCAGTGGGTGCGTCCGCATGGCGCCCCCCGCACCCATATCGGCATACTCTCACGCGGTTCCTGCCTTCCAAGGAGCTCCACCGAGGGCCCCAGTCGGTGCGTCCGCATGGCGCCGCGACGTCCGCATGGCTCCGCCGCGCACATTCGGCACAACCCTCTCACGTTTCCTGCCTCCCCAGGAGCTGCACCGAGGGCTCCAGTGGGCGCGTCCGCATGGAGCATCGTCCTCGCGTCCATGAAGGGTTGGGCTCGTCACCAGGGCATTTTTTCCACAGGCTGGGCTCGTGTGGCGATCTGCTGACCTAGTCCTTCTCGCTTGCTGGATGCAGGATGTCCTCGCACAGGGCCAGCAACGCAGGCAAGCAGACCCTCGACGCCCGGCGGGAAACCTTCTGGCCGTCCCGCCCCGGTGCCAGCGAAGACTGCGGTGGGGTGGCTGCCGCAGTGCTGGCGCCGGGCGGCCTCAGTCTCTTCCTGGCGCCTCGCTGCGACGTGCGAGGAAACTCGCCGCCCGCGGATGGCAGTCCCGCGCCTGCGGGCGGAAGTCCCAACCCTTCCCCCAGGGGCCGGCTTTTCATTCTGGGATGTTCCTGGGCGGTCCCGCGGACCCGGCGAGGGCCTCCAGAGGCCAGACACAGCGAAGACCCCCCGCAATGGTTTGTTTCGATGCGTTGAAGGTCTGTTTGGGGAGACCCGACCGGCCTCTGGCCGCCCGGCCGCGGCCTGCGAGCGCGGCAGGCGGCAGCGGTGCGGGCGGCTGTGGGGCCGGCGCAGCCTGCCGACGGGGGGCGCGAGCCGAGCGGATGGCTGTCTTCTGGACGTTTCCCCGAACACCTCCCGTGTCGAGGAAGCATGCTTTATCCCCCTCCCGCCTCCTCGTCCACCTCCTCCCCCTCCATTTTGATGTGTCACTTCCTCATTACTACTATCATGTGTCTTATGTGTCTTATTCTTCTTGGGTGCCCTGCACTTCTCCCTCCTCCTCCTCTTCCTGCCACTGCTCTATGCAAGTCAACTTCGGCACACCCATTGCAGATCTTGTGCCCCACAAGGCTCTCCACCGACGTCACCTGAGGGCCCGCCAGCGTAGCGGCGACACCCCTCAAGCAGCTCATGCTCCACAGGGAGCTCCACCCACGGACCCAGTGGAGGCGCAAATGGTGCCCCACAGGGAGCTCCACCCGTCTGCGCTCAATTCGGCGCGCCCAATACGCGGATTGCGACCCGCAATGAATTCGTCGGGCCTCTGCGCGCTTGCTCCGTAGCCCTCTATCCTCACTGCCCCGCGACGCGCAATTTTACATTGAGGGCCGCGCCTTGCGCTAAACACAGCTGCGCTACAGCAGCTGCGTAAGGGTTGAGCCCTTCGCCAGGTAATGTCCCAACTATCACGTGTTGTCGGGCCCTGGTTTTGCAGAGACAGCGCCCGCGTCATCTCCTTCTCCTCCTGCTCCTGCTCCTGGTCCTCCTCCTCTTCCCCCCCTCCCGACTCTGCCCTCCGCGTCACGCCCCGCGCGTTTCGTGCCCCCACAAAGAGCTCCAGCGAAGGCTCAAATGCCAGAGTTCGCATGGCGTCGCCGCCTCATGTCGGTACACCCTCGCGCGTTTCGTGGCCCCATCAACGGGGCTCCAACTAAGGCCCACATGCCAGCGTTCGCATTTCGGCACCGCCTCAGTTCGGCATACCCCTCACACGTTTCGTGGCCCCATGGAGCTCCGCCGAAGGCCCGCAGTCCAGGACCCGCGTCACGAACGGCGGCGCAGGGTGCCTGGCGGCCGAGGTGGCTACTGCCAGCAGCCCCGACTGGAGCGCTGCTTGGGGCTGCGCGCCGCGAACTGCCCAGGAGCGACTGCGCGATCGTCAACGAGCTCCTACCGGGTCCCTGGCCCACGAGTCGGGCGGCGTGGCAAGCGCAGCCGCGGTGCAAGGCAGCGCGGGCTAGGCGGCGAGGGGGTGGCCCGTCTAGCTCCTTCTCCATCGGGGATTTCGACGAGGATGAGAAGCTGGACGAGCATGTACCACTCGGGGTACCGCGGCAGGGCCCCGACGACGGGCACACAGAGCTCGCCCTCACGGACGAGGCCCTAGGCGTGGCGACGGCGTGCGCTGGGTCGGGTGCGCCCCACGGTCCGGAGCGAGAGCGAACGCGAGGCTGCCTGCAGTGCGACCTTGCGCTGGGAATGTCGCGGTGAGGAGCGACGACGACGACGACGATGGGGGCGGCGGGAAGGGAACGACGACGACGACGACGACGACGACGACGACGACGACGACGACGACGACGACGACGACGACGGACGGCGACGGACGACGCCTCTCCCGCCTCTCCGCGCGGTCAGCTGGCCCCTAAGAGGGGAAACTTCGGGGGATGAACGCCTGCCCTCCACGCCCTCTCCCGCCTCTCCGCGCGGCCGGCCACCACCCCTGAGAGGGGAACGTTGCGGGCTCGGAGGGGGACAGATCGACTTGGAATCGGCGATGCATCGCCGATCGATCGGCGATAGTCCCCCGATGGCGAATCCTTGGGCGGGATGGGGCTATCGGGTCCCTATCGGTGATGCATAGGCGATTGGAGGTCGATGCGTCCCCCTCGTCCCCCCATATGCCTATCCCCCCCTATCGTTGCCCCTGAAACGTCATTGGGAGAGTCAACCGGTGGGACCTGAGCGTCGCGGCGGCAGACGAGGTATTGGCCGCACTCGCAGCCGGCTTGACGGACCTGGGGTGAGAGCGGCGGCCAGGCAAGCTCTAGGATGAGAACGAGTGCGATGGCACTCTGCAGAGGGCACGCGGGGGGGGGGGGGGGGAGCGCTCGACCTGGCGCAGGATGAGCGCGCCTTCGCCGGCGGCATCAGCGGTGTAGGGAGTGAGTGCTGCGCGGCGCAGATATCCCGGTGGAGAACGGCGCCGAGTTCGAGGACGAGCTCGTCGCCGATCGCGAGGCGCGCTGGTGGGAATAGGTGGGCCAATTCGCTGTGGCACGCGCTGATGTGGCAGCGGCATCGGTCGAGACGGCCATCATACGAAACAGGATGGACGATCACCTTGTAACCCGCCCCACGACGACAACTACGCTCACACTTCAAAACATGCATACCATCTTTCTGCTCCAGAGCGCCGCGGTCGAAACGTAGACGGCACACCCAGACATCACCCGTACCTCGCATGACCGCAAGGGATTCAAAGCGAAACGGGGCTGCGTGCGAAGACAGTCCTTCCCATACTGCGATGCGGGGTTGGCAGGAATACAGAAGAGCAGCATTAGGTATGTGCCAAGCCCAGCCGCTCGAGAAGTTGGCCGACAAAGTGGTTGCCAACGAACAACTCGAGGCCGAGGCCGCATGTATCAAGGAAAAGGCGCACCATGCAGACACCATCAAGCTCCTGCTCAATGCCCAAGGCTGGGAAGGACAGAAACTCGACGCGGAGGTATCGTGCCGCTGCAATCCCACAGGGTCGCGGCGCTCTTACCACGCAGGCGATCTTGTTATCCGAGGGTCTGATTTTAGCTCTAGCATCCTTGGCTGGGCCTGCGGTCAATTCTGGCTGGTAGTGCGGAGCCAAGCCCTGAGAAAAAGGTTACCCGCACTACTCCAATGCAACTCCGAATGGCCCACCCTTCCTCTTCCTCAACTCGTCGCCTTCTTCCTCCTCTGCCACTGCCGCTCGCCAATGCAATACAGCTTGCAATCAAAGGTCCGACCCGACAAGAGCACGAAAGGTCAAGGCACCTCAACCTTCAACTGCTTCCCTGCTTATTGTATCACTGGCGCCCGCCGTTCACATAATATTGTGGGTAGTGCCTCCCGCAATCAGAACCCCTTCCCGGGCCAGGGGCTTTTAGCTCTTTATCGTTTTTCTCTGCTGACTCCTGGTCGAAACAACTCGGCCCGAGAATGCGTCCCTTGACTGAAGTTATGACTCTGGGCTGGAGAGTTACACGCCCCTGGCGAGGCCTGCATATTAGCATGTCCAACGGACCGTCTCCGTGGCCCGCTGCCCGTCACCTTTGCAGTCGCACATCGGCTTTTTGGTCGCCAGCTTCTTTACGTATTTGTTTCTGAGCGATTGCTCAATCGGGCATCAGAGCAGCCATCCTGAAGCCCGTGTCGACCTACAGCTGCTGGTCTGGACAGCCGCCCTCCTGAGGCCGCCGATAAAATCCCCATGGTGGAAACGTCGGCCCCTCGGTACGCACAAGTGCTCGTCGTCGACGGCCTTCGGAGCGGCGATGGCCGGGGAACGCGAGGCCGAAATCGTCGCGATCTCCCACCAGGACATCGACCACAACATACCCAACATGGCTGAGATCGATCGATCGGTCTGGTGGAGATCCACCTCGGTGGCTGACTCCAGATGCCCTGAATCCCGAAATATGGCGTCTCGCATTTTCTTCTGCCGCCTTTCGCCAGAGGACCCGCCGCCGTTTCTCCTTCCGCCGCCTTCCGCCAACCTTCCGCCGAAAGGAAGCGGCTCATGTGCTTGGGCCCCACCCCCCGTCGACGCCCCTCCAGATCGAAGATCGACTCGCGCGATTTCCCTCGCGGGAGCGTCGTCCTCGTGGTCGCCGCCGCCGCCGCCGTCGTTCCCGTCTTCTCCGCCGGCGTCGGCGACGGTGTCGCCGCAGCCGTCGTCGTCGGCGCTTGCTCCGCCGCCACGCAAGGCGTTGTCCCCGCCTCGGGCCGCTCGGCCCCAGCTCCAGCGGCTCCCGGCGCCGCAGGGGCCCCTGCTCGGCGGAGGCCCCGCCCAGACCTCCTAATCTTTGTTTTTTGTCTGCTGTGCGTCTGCTGGCCCGAACGAGCCGTTCTTGAGCTCTGGGTGCTGAGACAACTATGCGGGACGAAAGGCCGGTCCCAGGGAAGTGCTCGAGAGGTCCAGGGTCACCGCATTTGAAGAATCAGAGCATCGGATCTCTGGGGGGGCGGACCTTCCCATCCATGGCGTCCCTTGGGGAGGGAAGGGGTACTCGGCTGGAGCAGCCAACGTCCGCCTCCCTTTGCAACGTTCGAGAGGGAAGCATCTTGCGTAGAATGGCGCACCAGATGCTGAGAGAAAGTGCTGGCAACGCAGGCTGACAACGGCAGACTATGGATAGTAAAACCCACAAGCACGGCGGGCGGTGGTAGCCGCCGCCAAGACAGAGCAACAGCGGGAGGGAGAGAGGGGGAGAGAGACAGAGAGATAAGACGGTGCAAGAGAAGAAAATTGACACACGATCGACTAAATGTTTCAACATCAGCGCGAGACAGCGAGACATCGATACCTCGAGGCAGGCCAGGGATGATACAACAGACGGCACACATTGAGTCGAACTGCGACTGCCAAAAGAATGGCGCCGAGGGCGAACGCATGCCCAGAGAAAACATGAACCCCAGAGAAGCCGGTGCCTGGTGACGCAGGGGTCACGCCCAGAGCACATGGGCTACACAATCAACCGAAATAGTGGGGTACTAGGGCCTAGTGAGGTCTCGCCCCGCTTGCGGGAACGGCGTGAATCATGCGGTGCGGAAGAACATGCACGGGTGAGAATCAAAAAGACACCCCTCAAGCATCAAGGGTATTGCTACACGACGGTGTGCACGTATGACAAATACTCAATCCGAAATTAATCCGAAAACCTGCCGTGCGTATTGCGCAACTCACGCTCCAAACTGGTGTTGAAACGATCTCGGGAAAACTTGTCGATTGAATCAGTCCGTGTGGTTCTCGGGCGGCCAACTCTGCGGGAGCCTTCTGGGCGCCAGCGCATGGCTAGAGACGGCCACCCGCGCCTCTCGACGCACATTATCCTCAGGATGTTTCCGCGTGTTGTATACTTGAGGTCGAGCCAGTAAGACACCTTGTAAATTGACATTGCTCTATCCATTCTGATTTTGCATTGGTGCCCAGCCTCCTCCCAAGATTTGTGATCAACTTTACGAAATCCAGCAATACGTTGTAACATTTGCGCCCGTGCGCTGGCTTTTCTTCCTCTCTGTCGCGCTGCAAGCGGTGTCGTCGCAAGACTGTAGACGGCCGTTGGCATTGCGACGCTGTCGAGTGACTTCAAGCGCATCTTCAGTGACACCCGCTTGTTGGCGAAACCAATCTTGAACAAGTGCCTTGTTGACCATGCGCATTGCGTCCGGCATTCGATATTGCATGCACCTCGTTATCTGAAATATCCGTGGAAACGTTTCCCGATATACTTGCGCATACCAGTTTCCAACATCGCTGGAAGACTACAACCGTCACTTTGCAAAATCGTGGCTACCTCCAGAAAGGCATTAGCAGGGTCGTTCGTGAATATTCTGGTCTTGCTCGCATTCAGCTCTAGACCGCGCTGAAACAACTCCTGACGGAGAACCGCGAGCATGTGGGAACCGTCGTCTGGAGAATTGCTGTAGAGAAGTAAGTCGTCTGCATAACGTATATTGGTCTACATCTCGGCTCCTCCAAGATCGAGCCCCATGCCGCGGACGCGGTCTTTGAATCGCCGCAATGTGTGCTCAAGACCTGCGTTGAAGAGACGCGAGCTCAAAACGTCTCCTTGCTTGACCCCCCAGCTGATGTCGAAATGCCTGCTGCCGTGGACGGTTCCGAACTGGCCACAATACACATCAGACAATGAACGAATACATTCCCGATGAACACCTTGAGAACGCAGGGCTTCGAAAAATGCTGGGTGCTCGATTATTTCAAACACCTTGGCAAAAAAAGGTCCACGCTGACAATCCAGAGGTTGCGGCCACACCCCCAATCTGTCCAACAAAATTCCTCAAGCACGACAAATGCAGTGTCCACCGGTTTCCCCTGCCGGAAACCGACCTGATCAGCGGCCTGTTGAGCGTCAGTCGTTGGTTGGATGCGTGCGACAACGAGTCTGGGAAAAATGTTGTGCGTGTTTTTGAGCAGAACGATGGGCCTCCAATTCTTGACGTCCTTCCGTGGCCCGCTCTGCGGAAGCATCGTGAACAGAGTTGCTTGCCAGCTGGGTTCAAGAAGCCCTGTTTGAAGCATATGGTTGAAACGATACAGAAGACACTCCAGAAGCGCATCGCCGCCATGCAAAAACACCTCGAGGGTGATGCCGTTCTTGTCTGCGCACTTGCCCTTCTTCATTTTCCGCAGCGTAGCCTCCACCTCGACCATCGTGAAAGGCTGGGCGTGGTAAGGACCTGTATTGCAGTATGTGCGAAGCCAATTTGCATGTGATCCCGTCGAGCCCGTTAAGAAAATGTGCTCCAGCGGACCCGGCAAAATCCCCGTGAGAGCAGCGCAGGCAGATAATGCAAAGGGAACCAGAACCAGGCATCTCCGAAATCAAGGGTATCCACGCACGCATGAGCCCAAGCTCGCTTAGCCGAGGATTCCAGCTCAAGCGTGCTTAGCCGACGATGCTCAATTGCGTGCGTGAGGCTCTGGACCACTACAAATTTCAGAAGAGATGGCGACGACGGGAGGGGGAAGGAGTGGAGAGGAGAGGAGGGAAAAGGGGAGGGGGAAAAGGGGAGGGAGGGAGACGGGAGGGATCGACTATTCCACAAGGGCTTGACGATACCTACGTGCCGCTGGATCATTACTACACGTTCTCGCTAACCAGAGACATCAACCGTCTCATCGGGGGGGGGGTGCTGCAACATGCTGGGTGGCTATCCTGGCTGCCTTCACCGGTTGACATATGTATGCGTTGCTGGAGTTGTGGAGGCCGATTGCGACTCGATGCTCGGCTCCTCCAAGACCGAGCCCCATGCCGCGGACGCGGTCTTTGAATCGCCGCAAGGTGTGCTCAAGACCTGCGTTGAAGAGACGCGAGCTCAAAACGTCCCCTTGCTTGACCCCCAGCTGATGTCGAAATGCCTGCTGCCGTGGACGGTTCCGAACTGGCCAGAATACACATCAGACAGTGAACGAATATATTCCCGATGAACACCTTGAGAACGCAGGGCTTCGAATAATGCTGGGCGTTCGATTATATCAAACGCCTTGGTAAAGGTCCGCGCTGACAATCCAGAGGTTGCGGCCACACCCCCAATCTGTCCAACAAAATTCCTCAAGCACGACAAATGCATTGTCCACCGATTTCCCCTGTCGGAAATCGACCTGGTCAGCGGCCTGTTGAGTGTCAAGCGTTGGTTGGATGCGTGCGACAACGAGTCTGGGAAAAATATTGCGCGTGTTTGTGAGCAGAACGATGGGCCTCCAAGTCCTTCCGTGGCCCGCTCTGCGGAAGCATCGTGAACAGAGTTTCTTGCCAGCTGGGTTCAAGAAGCCCTGTTTGAAGCATATGGTTGAAACGATACAGAAGGCACTCCAGAAGCGCATCGCCGCCATGCAAAAACACCTCGAGGGTGATGCCGTTGTTGTCTGCGCACTTGCCCTTCTTCATTTTCCGCAGCGTAGCCTCCACCTCGACCATCGTGAAAGGCTGGGCGTGGTAAGGACCTGTATTGCAGTATGTGCGAAGCCAATTTGCATGTGATCCCGTCGAGCCCGTTAAGAAAATGTGCTCCAGCGGACCCGGCAAAATCCCCGTGAGAGCAGCGCAGGCAGATAATGCAAAGGGAACCAGAACCAGGCAGGCATCTCCGAAATCGAGGGTAGCCACGCACGCATGAGCCCAAGCTCGTTTAGCCGAGGATTCTAGCCCAAGCATGCTTAGCCGACGATGCTCAATTGCGTACGGGAGGCTCTGGACCACTACTACTTTCAGAAGAGATGGCGACGACGGGAGGGGGAAGGAGGGGAGAGGAGACGAGGGAAAAAGGGAGGAGGAAAAGGGGAGGGAGGGAGACGGGAGGGATCGACTGTTCCACAAGGGCTTGACGATACCTACGTGCCGCTGGATCATTACTACACGTTCTCGCTAACCAGAGACATCAACCGTCTCATCGGGGGGGGGGTGCTGCAACATGCTGGGTGGCTATCCTGGCTGCCTTCACCGGTTGATATATGTATGCGTTGCTGGAGTTGTGGAGGCCGATTGCGACTCGATGCTCGGCTCCTCCAAGATCGAGCCCCATGCCGCGGACGCGGTCTTTGAATCGCCGCAAGGTGTGCTCAAGACCTGCGTTGAAGAGACGCGAGCTCAAAACGTCTCCTTGCTTGACCCCCCCAGCTGATGTCGAAATGCCTGCTGCCGTGGACGGTTCCGAACTGGCCAGAATACACATCAGACAGTGAGCGAATATATTCCCGATGAACACCTTGAGAACGCAGGGCTTCGAATAATGCTGGGCGTTCGATTATATCAAACGCCTTGGTAAAGGTCCACGCTGACAATCCAGAGGTTGCGGCCACACCCCCAATCTGTCCAACAAAATTCCTCAAGCACGACAAATGCATTGTCCACCGATTTCCCCTGTCGGAAACCGACCTGATCAGCGGCCTGTTGAGCGTCAAGCGTTGGTTGGATGCGTGCGACAACGAGTCTGGGAAAAATCTTGTGCATGTTTTTGAGCAGAGCGATGGGCCTCCAATTCTTGACGTACTTCCGTGGCCCGCTCTGCGGAAGCATCGTGAACAGAGTTGCTTGCCAGCTGGGTTCAAGAAGCCCTGTTTGAAGCATATGGTTAAAACGATAAAGAAGACACTCCAGAAGCGCATCGCCGCCATGCAAAAACATCTCGAGAGTGATGCCGTTCTTGTCTGCGCACTTGCCCTTCTTCATTTTCCGCAGCGTAGCCTCCACCTCGACCATCGTGAAAGGCTGGACGTGGTAAGGACCTTTATTGCAGCATGTGCGAAGCCAATTTGCATGTGATCCCGTCGAGCCCGTTAAGAAAATGTGCTCCAGCGGACCCGGCAAAATCCCCGTGAGAGCAGCAGAGAATGCAAAGGGAACCAGAACCAGGCATCTCCGAAATCAAGGGTAGCCACGCACGCATGAGCCCAAGCTCGTTTAGCCGAGGATTCTAGCTCAAGCATGCTTAGCCGACGATGCTCAATTGCGTACGGGAGGCTCTGGACCACTACTAATTTAAGAAGAGATGGCGACGACGGGAGGGGGAAGGAGGGGAGAGGAGAGGAGGGAAAAGGGGAGGGGGAAAAGGGGAGGGAGGGAGACGGGAGGGATCGACTATTCCACAAGGGCTTGACGATACCTACGTGCCGCTGGATCATTACTACACGTTCTCGCTAACCAGAGACATCAACCGTCTCATCGGAGGGGGTGCTGCAACATGCTGGGTGGCTATCCTGGCTGCATTCACCGGTGGTTGACATATGTATGCGTTGCTCGACTTGTGGAGGCCGAGAGCAACTCTATGCTCGGCACCTTCCATAACCACACATACCTCGTGAACGTCGAAGATGTTTCTATAGGATGCGCCCGCTAGAGGGCAGATCAGACATCACAACTCTCGAATGTGATGTCTCGAGCTCAGAAGGATGTACGCTACATTATATGAACTGTGTTCTCCACAGACCTCGCTCAGGGTGACGCTCGCTAGCTGCATGACCTACAGTGTGATATCCTATGAACTCGCTCTGGGTGGCGCTCGCTGGAGGGCTGGTTCAACACCGCGAACGCTCAAGAATTGTCCAGCGAATGCTTGCTGGAGGGCTAAGGCGCGTACTTAACATAATTGCTCTGGGAGATGCCCGCTGGACGGTCACCACGTGGGCACCGCTGATCGTGCTCTGGGATAGCCCGGTGGAGGGCTGTCATCGGCCGCCAGGGTCCACTCGGGAGAAGTAGTGTTCCCGGTCCTGTCAAGAGTGTCGCGAGACACCTCCACGTGGAACGCTGGATTTGTCACACCCACATGGTGCTGAGAGCGCTGCGCTGTGAGCCCAAACATAGGGGGTGGTGCAAGATTTCAAGAACCCGTTCTCGAGGTGAGAGAAGGGAGCGGGGAAGAGTGCATGGGTGAAGAATGGAGGGGGCGGTGAGAGAAGTGGGTTGGAGCGGATAACGAGAGGGAGGACTGGTAGGTGGGGAAGGAGGGGATTAAGTCGGGGATGTAATGAGGATGAGGAGGAGTGACGACAGCCTGAGGCATACAATATAAGAGGGAGAGGTTTGACGCGGGGGGGGAGATGGGGGACAAGGATGAGGAAAAAAGGGCACGGAGGTGGATGAAGGATGAGGGGGCTGGAGGCTCCACCGGCCTGCGCCGACGGCGGAGCGGGCTGGGCTCGGGCTCTTCAGGTCCTGGTGCACCAGCCTGCGGTGCCTATTCAGCACGTGCCTGTAAGCGAAGACTCGCCCGCAGTCCCGGCACGAGAAGGGCCGCAACCCTTGGTGCACTGCGCGCTGGTGGATCCGCAGGTTGGACGCGGAGGAAAATACCTTTTTTTGTGGGTTCAACGTTATTCATGATTCTTGCAATCGACGCTGGGGGTAAGCCCTGGCCGATTTACGGAAACACGGGGACAACGGCATTGATCTCTCTGGGGGGTACCTGTGCTTCCGCTTCCACTGGCCTCCAGGTTCCACCAGTCTCCGCCGGGAAGGGGAGGTCAGGCCTTCATTCCCTCGGGTCAGAAGCCCCGTTCTCACAAGGCTACAAACATTCACTCGTAATGCCGCAGCCCTGTGCCCATCCCAAGGATCTCCCGCGTTTTGCTGTGGTGTGCTCTCGGCATTGAACTCGGCTCAGAGCAGCCATCCCTTGGAAGACGGGGGTGAACTCGAAGAACGCCATTTCTCGAACAGGTCGCCTGACCGCAGTCCGGGTGTGGGCACTGGTGGCTGGCCTCGGCATGCACGCGCCGCACGTGCTCCTGCAAGTGCCACTCACGGGTGTAGGCCTTTCCGCACTCCTCACTGGACAAACATGTGGGGGGAAGGGGGCAGGGGCTCCGCTGCTCCCGCGACGACTGGCCCAGCGCCCAGCGCCCTCTTGTTCCCCCATCCGCCCAGTCCCCCCTCTCCTGCATCCCTCCCTCGCTCCCTCCCCTCCCTCCCCCCCCTCCTTCCTGACTAAAAAAATAACACCCAGATTTGCCAATTCCTTCCGAAAATCAGCACTGATCCTCACACACGTGCTTCTGCGGCTTCTGCGGGTGGACCGTGCGAACGTGGGCGGCCAAGTCTGTGGAGCGCAGGAACTGCTGCCCACATCGGTCGCACTCGAACTTCCGGTGTCTCTTCATGTGCCTGCTCGGGCAAGCCAAGACTGGACCCTCCTCCCCCCCTCCATCACTCTTCCTTAGGACGTCGCAGGCCCAACGGGCCAACGGCGTGTTCGATCCGTCAAATAGGTAACAACTCAGGTTGGAGTGTTTGGCTATCCAGTCCGCACGTGCGAGGGCGGCCATGGGGGGACTGCGCCAAGAGCGCGGACTAAAACGTGTTAGACCCCATGCTGGCCCTACGATGGCTTCCACATGGTGCCGAGGTGACTGCAAGATGCCCCTCATAGTCCAAGACAGCCCAATGGATTGCACAGGCGGCCTAAGATGTACTGAAGACTGCTCAAACAAAAATCTCAGAGGGCCCCAAAGCGGCCAAACAGCAGGGACAAGTGGGAGGCAGGCGCCAAGATGGCCCCCTCAAAAGGGCACAATCTGACCCTGAGGTGGCCCAATCTTGTCCAAGAAGCTCCTGAGAGGCCCATGGTAGCCTCCCACGACCACCATACGTTTCCCGATGCGTAGCACCCCACGCTGGCGGATAAATGTGAAGGGGTGGCGGCGCGAGCGAATCGCTTCCACCTGTAGCCCCCAAGTGCAGCTCCGATGTGCCACTGTGAGTAGCCCCCCAAGTGTATCAATGTGTAGCCCCCAATTGTAGCCCTCACGTGTAGTTCCGAAGTGTAGCCCCCCCATGTGTAGCCCCCACGTCTAGCTCCCAAGTGTAACCCCTAAGTCTAGCAGTCCCCTAGTGTAGCCCTCAGAGGCCAGGCCTTCCATCCAGCCGCGCGCACGCGCAGGGAGAAAGTACGACGGTTGGGACCCCCTGGCTCTGATGACCATACCCATAATCCAAGCACGCGTAGCACCCCGCAATTGCCAGGGCGGCGGCCATGTGTCGCAGATTGCCCTCATGGGTTACCCCCAAGATTTGCCCCACATGTGTTGTCCGTCGAGTACTGCCGCCATGTATTAACCTCCAACATGTCCCCCAAGTATTGCCACCAGGAACCGCCCACATGTATTGCCCCAGGTATCGCTTCCAGAGGCCGTGCTTTTTGTCCAGCGACGAGCGCGCAGGGAAATCGTCAGACCATTCGCCCCCCCACTCAGATGATTGTAAATATTTCGCTTTCCTGTTTCTGCGGGCTCCAATGGGCTTCGCGGACTCCGAGGTGGACCCAAGAGGGCGCCACAAAAGCCCTGAGCGAGCCACACGACTCCCCAAGAGGGTCCCAAGAGGGCTGCAAGACAGCCCACAGAGCGCCTAAAACGGTCCAACAGCGGATGCCAGTGGGGGGACGGGCCTCAAGATGGCCCCGGCATAGCTCTAAGAAGCCACATGATGACCTCACAGCGGCCCACTATTGTCCAAGACAGCCCCCCAATAATCCCGAGAGTCATCCCAAAGTCCCCAGATACTCCGAGTACCAAACAGCAACATTAGTTTGTCGATGTTTGTGGTGTTCCTTCCCCTGCGGGCTCTAATCTCATCGACTTCAGGACCCCAGAGAGGACTACATATTCCCAAGGAGGGCCTCGAGAGGGCCCCAAGGACGACCCAACAGCAGGGATCAGTGGGAGGCGCGCACCAAAATGGACCCAAGACAGCCCCAAGGGGCCTCATGATGACGCCAAGGTGGTCCTATGGTCCAGGAGAGCCCCCAAGAAACCTCCAGATAGCCCGACACTCTACAATACGCCCCCAGAAGGCTCCAATAAGCTCCCCAGGAGACCGCAGGATGCTTTCAGAGCCTCCCAAAGACCCTCAGGAGCACCTCAATATGCCCAGACAGCCCACAAAGGGGTTTGTTTATTGCGGTCTCTCGCTTGCGGACTTTGATAGCTAGACTTGGGTGGAGGGCGTGCTCCGCGGAGTGCTGCACTCAACCTGCCATGCGACTGCTTCTCCCACACACGAGCTTCACACGGCAACTTGGGGATCGCACCGGGTGGCCGCCCAACAACTTCCCAATGCCCGCGAGCACGCACGCAAATGGCAAGGGCAAGGGCGATAGAACGTGAACTGGCGGGGTGCGCTGAGCAATTGACTTCGGCGGGTCCACGTCAGGGAGCGCAGCGGGAACAGGGCGGCCTGAACCGTGTAAAGTGCGACAGGTTTGCCAGATGTTGGAAAGGAACATATAGATGGCATGCGAAATTCACGCCAAGAACGGCCTCGCGCATTTCGCCTGCCCACAAGGGCATCCGCGCGTGAGTTCTCCTGGGGGGGGGCCTCATCTCGGCATACCCTTTAAGCATTTAGGGCTCCCTGGACCTCCAGAGGCCTTCATTTGAGGCTCCACGCGGGTGACGGGAGCCGCGGCACACCCCTCACACGCTTTGTGGGCCCTCAGCTGGCCCTCAAGGAGGCTCCAGGGGCCCTTACTTCAGCACACTCCTCGCGCACATCGACCCCCGTGGACCTCCACAGGCGCTCAACAATTCTCCTTGAAGTCTGATTCCGGCACGCCCCCTCACACATGTCACCCCTCGCGCAGCGTGTGCCTTCTGAACACCCGGGAGGCGCCCAGCTGGCTCCTCAAGACTGCTCCTGGGAGCTGTAATTCGGCGCACCCTCACGAACTTCGTGGCCCGACTCCCAGAGGCCCTCAGCAGGCTCTCAAGACTGCTGACGGGAGCCGCACTTCGGCACACCCCTCATCCACTTCTTGCCCCATGGTCCCCAACACGTCCTCAAGAGGCTTCCCAAACCACCGAACATGCCCCAAAGAACGCCAAGACTGCTCTACACAGAAAAATTAACCAAATGGTGCCGTGACTCCATGCTCTGCGCGTGTAGACGAGACGCGTCCACCAAACGCGTCTGTAGGCCCGGTCCGGCGTTTCGTTTGAGACTTTCTTGCACTTTGCGCTCCTGAAACAGCTCCATGGATGGAAAACTTATGGTTTTCAGAACGCCACTCTCGCTTTTGCGCCGCGTGCAATTGTCGCAAACACTTGCACGCAACTGTTACAACCATGCACGTCACAAGGCTAAACAATTAGGCTCTCGCCCCAACGTCCTCACATTCGTCTTACACATTTGCACAGCGAGTACGATGATGCAGCGCCAAAAGTTTCCCAAATGCGGCTCTCGCCCAAGCGCCACGCGCACTCCCTCGAGATCGGCCTTATCTCCACAAGAGTGAACGCCGTGCTGGCGGACGCCACTCGAATTAACATTACGAACGTGTGCAGGCAATCCTGCGCTGGAGGCTCCGGTCAAGGATGAAGGCGGTTCCTTTTCAACATGGGGCTGTGGCTTGAGACGTCCATCTAACGACCCAGAGCTCAAATCATTTAACAACTGCACGGGTGGAAAGCGGCTCCTGTTCAAAATGGGGCATCCGCTTGTGGCTCCCCTGCACATCACGACCAGACGTGCAAACTTGTGCAGCAATTACAAAGATGAGGGGTGGTTCCTGGATCTCGCTGGACATGTCGCTGATTTGTGTGATCATACCTCTACGCTGTCCTGACACTTTCGGGCGTAGCCCGAATATGTTTCTCGCGAGGTAGACTGACCGAACTGTACTGAACTGACCTGAATTGAACTGACTTGAACTGAACTGAACAGACTAGTCCCCCCGTTACGCGACGGTTTTATTCTCGGCCGCCAAGGGCGCAACCTGTGGCGCAACCGATCGGAGACGATTTTACTCTCGGGCGCCGAGGGCGCAACATATGGCGAAACCGATCGGAGACGGTTTTATTCTCAGCCGCCGAGGGCGCAACCTATGGCGCGACCAATAGAAGACGATTTGATTCCAGGCCGCCCAGGGCGCAACCGATGGCGCAACAGATAGGAGACGGAACTTTTCTCAGCTGCCGAGGGCACAACCTATGGCGCAACCGATAGGAGACGGATGTATTCTCGGCCGCCGAGGGCGCAACCTATGGCGCAACCGATAGGAGACGATTATATTGTCAGCCACCGAGGGCGCAACCCATGGCGCGACTGATAGGAGACGGTTTTATTACTTGCCACCTAGGGCGCAACCTATGGCGCAACCTATGGGCATTCGAATGCCTGCGGGGCTACGCCTGATGTATGCTCGCCGTTTGGGCTGGCGGTGGGGCCCAAACGGCGAGCTGTCTTGTGAATCTGCAAAGCAATTCCTTTTCAACGCGGGGCTCCAGTCTGCATGGCTATCCCATGTGATGCTCGTCTTCCAAGAGGGCGCTTCCCGTAATGAAAAACAACCAGTGTAGGAGCTTCCGGAGAGAAGACACAGGACAGGAGAGTGTAATGCAGCACGGTTGGTGCATCATGTGTTTACTCTGGTCCCCCTCCTCTTCCTCCTCCCCCCTCACTTTCATCCCCCTCCCTGTCCTCCTCCTCCTCCTGCTGCTCCTCCTCCATCTCCCCGCCCCTCCCGCTCTCCCTCCTTTCCCTCCCCTTCCCCCCTTTCCCCCTCTCTCCCCCGCCACTCCCTTCCGCTTGCTAACGCTACGTCCTATGATCTCAAGAGGAGAAGGGTTGCAGACAGATGGTGGCTCAGAGGTCGGAGGGGAGGATTTAGAGGCATGTCGCGCCCAGGTTCGAAGAGCGAACGGGAGGAGGGATGGGATCAAGAGAAGGGGGGGGGGGACGATGAAGAAACGTAAGCGGATTAAGAGTAATACAAAATCCCGGCTGCCGAGACAGCCCCTTATAAAACCCATGGGGTTGTCATAACATTCTCAGGCGTTATCCATTTCCGATCACCTGGGGGATCCCAACAATGAAGGACCCCTCGAAGAGGTACCAGAAAGAAAACACATACTGAAGTGTTCATCGCCGAACTAGGACACACTCGCTTGCCTGGGGTTTCTCGGAACACCGTTTTCCTGATTGCGATCGCGACGCCGCATCGGACTTCCTGGAGACATTCAAAGTCTGACGCCAGTCAGGCTTCGGACCTCTTTCTGACATGGTTCGCAAGGGCAGCTGACGTCGAGTTTGGGAGATGCGACAAGGAGTGCCGACGCTGGCAGGGGGCGGGGGCAAAGGAGCGAAGGGGAGAGTGAAGGGCATGGGGAGGGAAAGGGGAAGTGGTAGCAGAGAGGCCAAACTGATATGAGTAGGTGGGTGGCGGGGAGGGGTCATGAGAGAGAGGCGAGGCGGCGATGCGGAGGTGGGGAGAGGGGAGGGATTTCTGCTGCCACAATTTGATTTGATCGCCACCGCGTATTTCATTGCCACCGCCACTTGATGTTACCACCGCGCATCGATGCCGTAGCCGATAGCCACCGCATCGTAAGACATTGCCACTGCATCTTGATCAGATTGCCACCATAACAGAACTGTGTTGCAGCAATTTCCGCAGTTCAGTGCCACCGCATTCAGATTTCATTGTCACCGCATTTGAATGTTGCTGCTACCGCGCATCTTGATTTTAAAACATCCGGTGTTGTTGTCACCGCATCTTGATGACAATTTGCTCGCCCGTGGCTGCCATATGCGGCTCAAGCGGACTGCACACATACACAGGCGACACCAATCACAACGCCGAATGTGTCAACACCTTGAGGCTGCCACGTCAAACCAAGCAACACTTCAATCCAAAGATTGAGCCGCTAGGTCCGCGCGCACTGGTCCTCCTGATTCTGCTAGCCGTGCCAATCCCACGTCTGGGTGTGTGAGACCTCTCGTCACCCCGAGCACACGTCTGCACGCAAGACTTCCTACTGTCGCGCAACATCGGGGAACTATTATGTACCTCATGGGGCTCATCCGCGAAGACGGACTCGTAGTGACGATTCAGACGGGCGCGGCAAACTGTGGGGAAGGATCGTGCATTCGCACGGCGTGTAATTTAGTAGATTTCTGAAGCTCTTACCTGGACCCTGGCGTTGGGCAGGCAGGGTCAGGGTGTCACACAAGCACTTGGAGCCAGATTTGATTGCCACCGCATCTTGATTGCAGATCGCTCGCTGTCGCTGCTGCCATCTGCGGCTCAAACGGACTGAGGAGCCACCGCCGAGAGTTATCCGAACGCTCATTCATGTTACACCTTCATCTTGCCACGCCGAAACAAGGACATGTTCGAGGGGGAAAAAGAGGAACAGAGGAGGGGGGGGGAGAAGGCGGGGAGGTGGCCTGTGCAGCTGCCACGCGCCCCTCGCCCACACGCCACACTCGGGGCACCGCAGCCCGCCGACTGGGCCTGCACGGGGTGGGCGAAACTCTGCGGGGGGGTGAGGGGGGAGCGGAGCGCTCAGGACAGGGGCAACGCCCCACAGAACGGGGCACGGGTGGGGGATCCTCCCCGCATCCTCCTCACCTCCCCCCTCCCCCCGCCCCCCCCTCTGGACAACGCTCTGGGGCGAGCGCCTGCCCCACGCCAGCAAGTGGAGTCTGACGGGAGCGTCGAGGGTGCGGCACTGATCCAGCGATCTGCACTCCGATTCCAGGAGGGGTCACCCCGCACGAGGCACCCCATCCAGTGCTTCGCCTGCCCGGACCTTGCCGCCCGCGAGCCGCATCAGCGGCCGCCCCTGCTGGTGCTGGTTCGGGGGCCTCTGGGCCGAGTCATAGCCAAAAGAAGATGCGGCCCCTTGCTGCTGCTTCTGCACATCCTCCTCCCGCTGCAGCTGTTGCGCCTTTCCCCTCCTCCAACTCATCCTGCTCCATCCCCTTCCTTCAGAATAACTTCTCCCTGTCGCACCCCTGGGCGAATCGGTGGGCAGGCCGGGCGTTTCGCCGGAGACTTCCTTACCATTTGTGCCATGGAGCTTGAAATTAGCATAGTTTCAAACATTGAGGACAAATCGTTTTCAAAATGTCGCTCTCGCCTTAGCGCCGCGCACGTTCTTCTTCAAAGCTTGCAGTACCTTTAAGGATGGAGGACGGGTGGTTTTCAACATGTGGCCCGCCTTAGCGCCGCGCACGCTCGTTTTTCAATGTTTGCAGCCGTTTCAAGGGTGGAGGACGGCTCCTTTTCAAAATGTAGCTCTCTCCTTTGCGCGGCGCACATTCGTCTCAGACGTGTTAAAAAGACTAAAGAATTCGTACGGCTGGAGTTCACAAAATGGTGTTCGGGCAAGGTGCAGTATTGCCAGGGCGCAGCAGCCACGTTGATCCGCGGTGTTGGAGTCCGAGGACAGGTGTTCTGGCACGGCTTGTGACTCTCAGGACGCAACCGTCACGTTGATTCGGTGTTGGATTTTCAGGAATGGTGTTCTGGCACGCTTTCAGATTCCCAGACGGTTGTCTTTCACTTGGGCACTTCCCGCAATGGAGATACATTACTGCAGGGATCTATGTGCAGGGAACTTCGAGAGAAGGGTTATTGCAACAACGTTGATGCGTCTTGGGTTTACGCTTGCCCTCCTTATCCTCCTCGTCTTGCGTTTGTCCTTGCTCCGTTTCTCCACCTCGCCCATTCCCTCCACCTGCTCTTCCTCCACTGGCCCCGTCCCGTGTCCTGATCACCGTCGGCCAGCCGCAGGGAAAAAACAGGGAAGGAAGCGAAAGCGCCGAACAGGACCGGAGGAAAGCAGGAATCTGTGGGACTGAGGGGGGCGGGCGCACGAAGCAGGGGAAGGAGGGAACAAACCAACTGACCCTGATATTCAAACCCTGGGGATATTAAAGTTCGGGGTCCAGGGGGGATAATAAACGCTTCCCCGGCGGATCGCAGCATAAAGAACTTTGAGGATGATGATGTTGTTGATGATGATGATGGAGATAAAATCGTGCCCGCACTCCGCACAAACAGAAGCTGGCCCGGGCCCCCGAGATCATAACAGTAGTAATGTCGTCGTAGTAATAGTAATCGAGGTGGTAGTGGTAGTAGTAGTAGTAGTAGTCGTAGTAGTAGTAGTAGTAGTAGTAGTAGTAAAAGTAGTAGTAGTAGTAGTAGTAGTCGCAGTAGTCGTAGTAGTCGTAGTAGTAGTAGTAGTAGTAGTAGTAGTAGTAGTAGTAGTAGTAGTAGTAGTAGTAGTAGTAGTAGTGGTAATCGTAGTAATAGAAGTAGTAGTAGAAGTATTAGAAGTAGTAGTAGAAGTCGTAGAAGTAGTAGTCGTAGTAGTAGTAGTAGTAGTAGTGGTAGTAGTAGTAGTAGTAGTAGTAGTAGTAGTAGTATTGGTAGTAGTAGTAATAATGTTGGTAGTGGTAGTCTTGGTCGTAGTCGTAATACTCGTAGTACTCGTGGTAATAATAATAGTAGTAGTAGTAGTAGTAGTAGTAGTAAATGTCGTCGTCGTCGTAGTAGTAATAATACGGGTAAGGGCGCAGTCGTAGTATTAGTGATAGTCGTAAGTCAAAGAGTAGTGGTAGTAGAAAGACTGGCCGTAGTAGCCGTAGTAGTAATAGGAATAAGAATAGGGGTACTAAAAGTACTCGTTGTACTAGCAGTAGTCGTAGTCGAAGTAGCAGGCGTCATAATAGCGCTAGTAGCAATCGAACAAATAATAGTCGTTGTCGCAATAGTAAGAATGGTAGTGTTACTATGACCAGAAGTAGTAATAGTACTGGCAGTATAGCCGTAGTAGTAGCAATAGTACTTGTATTAGTAAACGTTATAGTAGTAGTAGTAGTAGTAGTAGTAGTAGTAGTAGTAGTAGTCGTAGTAGTAGTAGTAGTAGTAGTAGTAGTAGTAGTAGTGGTAGTAGTAGTAGTGGTAATGGTAATAGTAGTAGTAGTAGTAGCAGTAGTAGTAGTAGTAGTAGTAGTAGTAGAAGTAGTAGTAGTAGTAGTGGTAGTAAAAGTAGTGGTAGTAGTAGTAGTAGTAGTAGTAGTAGTAGTGGTAGTAGTAGTAGTAGTACTAGCAGTAGTAGTAGTAGCAGTTCATAGTGGTAGTAGTAGAAATAGTAGTAGTAGTAGTAGTAGTAGTAGTAGTAGTACTAGTAGTAGTAGTAATAGTAGTAGTCGTAATAGTAGTAGTAGTAGTACTAGTCGTACTAGCCGTAGTAGTAGTGGTAGTATTGGTAGTAATACTCGTAGTAGTAATAGTCGCAGTAAGCGTAGTAGTAGTAGCAGTAGTGGTAGTAGTAGTAGTCGTAGTAGTAGTAGTAGCAGCAGTAGTAGTAGTAGTAGTAGTAGTAGTAGTGGTAGTAGTAATAGTAGTAGTAGTAGTAGTCGTAGTAGTAGTAGTAGTAGTAGTGGTAGTAGTAGTAGTAGTAGTAGTAGTAGTGGTAGTAGTAGTAGTTGTATTAGTATTATTATTAGTAGTAGTAGTAATAGTAGTAGTAGTAGTAGTAGTAGTAGTAATAGTAGTAGTAGTAGTAGTAATAGTAGTAGTAGTAGTAGTAGTAGTAGTAGTAGTGGTAGTGGTAGTAGATGCAGTCGTCGTCGTAGTAATAACCGTGGTGCCAGTCGTCGTAATAAAACTGTAGTCGCCATAATAATACTGGATAATATTCTATAGCCCTGCCACACGTGGGATGCTGATGTTGCTAGTCAATCTAAGAAGACCGTAACTTCCATGCGCAACTTCCACAGGCGATACTAAAGTTCGGCCGTGCCACCCCTCTTCCCCGACCAATTCTGTATTGGCCCGGTATATTAAACTCTCAGGAATTACGGGAGGGTATACTGCATTATTCAAGGGCCGCGGTCAGGAGGGCGGCCGAACAAATGGCAAGGATAGTCAGGGCGGGGCCGTAGCACAGGCCGTGGCCACCCCTGGCTGAAAAGCTGTCGGCTGGAATCGCAGGGTGTGCATTTGTGAGGCCTGGGTGTCCACTGGGGGGGGGCTTCGGGGTGACTGCTGTTCCTCCTCCTCCTCCTCCTGGCGCAACCGCCTCTATCTTCCATACACTCGGTGCGTGGGCGACAGCGCCAATACGGGGAAACAGCCACAGCGAACTCAGCCAAGGCGTCAAAAACGTCAATGGTTCTGAACTTTTTTGCAAACTGTTGCCAACCTCGAACCGGGTGACGGGCACTGGGCCAGGAGAGGCATGGGAGGGGAGAGGGGGAAGAGGGGGCCAGGGTGGACTTCGAGGGGGGGGTGCGGGGCGGGGGGGGGACTATGCACGGGAGAAGGGGCGCAGAGGGAAGGCGAAGCGGCGAACCTCTGCGCTGGCGGGCGGCGCGCCGCGCCCTTGCGCGGCCGGGTGGGGAGCTCCGTCGGCGTCTCGCCCTGCCACCGCCGCCAGCTCGTGGGCCTGTCGGTGGCGGTCGAGGTGCGCCCTCTTCCGAAAGCGGGCGCCGCAGACCTCGCACGGGGGGGGGATGGGGAAGGGGATGGGAATGGGGGTCTTCTGGGAGTGTCCACCGCAGACCTCGCACTGGAGGCCCTCGTGCACGCGGGCGTGCTTCGTAAGCTTCTGCTGGCTGACGAACGACTTGTCGCAGCCAGGGACGGCGCAGGCGTACGGCCTGGCGGCACTGTGGGTCAGCATGTGCCTGGCCAGGTGTGCCTGCCGCTTGAACGCCTTGCCGCACCCCTGGAACGTGCAGAGGCAAAGTTTCTCGGTCGCGTGCAGCCGCAAGTGCTTGTGGTAGCGGGTGCTGGTCGGAAAGCCCTTCCCGCACTCCTCACAGACGAAGCGGCGCAACGGCTCTATCAGATGTGGGGGTGGTGGGGGAGTAACCAGGACCCCTGGAGGCACCCCTGCGGTCACCGCCATTGTCTGCACAACACGCGCCTGCCGGCTTACGCGCAAGGCACTGCGGCGTCCTGGGCCACTGCAGCATGAGCCACAACGGCTTCAAGGAGAGGTAGGGGTATGAATTAGTGAGAGAGGGAGAGGACGTGGAGGGGGGGCAAGAGAAGTACAAATGCCATGGTGCTTCCCGTGATGAGGTGCTCCATTTTATGCTGCCACCATGCGGCTGGAAATTGCATTGACGGTAAGTGCGGCGAGAATCTACATTCCTGCCAGACGCGTTCGCATCAGAGATCAGCACTGATATTGAGGCAAGTTGGCGGAGCAACGCTGCAACCTGTAGTAAATACCTCCATTGTGTGCTGCATCGGGCAGCTCGCGCTAGCGATCCATGATCACACTCGCTTCTAACGTTGCCGACTTTTACTGAAGAGAAATGGCGCTGCATGAGCCCTAAGATTGTCAACACATGCGGGGGGCCTGACTTTGCATGTGTGTGATTTGGCTGCACTCCAGGGCCACTCGGACTGACGTGATCAACTCTTGTGTTTCTCTTCGTCCTCCTCCCCCTGCTCCACCTCCCCCTCATACCCCTCCTCTTCCTCCACCTTCGAACTTCGAACTGCTGACCTTCGTCTCCCTGAGACTGCGGCCTCCTCCTGCACCTCCTCCTCCACCTCCTCTCCCTCATTCCCCTCCTCCGCCACCTCTAAAAAGTGATAGTCTGGGGCACCCGTGCAAACTAGTTGAGGCAAACAGGGCGCCACCAGACGGGGCATACAACAATCTTGGTGGGACAAGGGTATGATCGGTTCTCGGGTGCTCAGTCAGTCAGCTCCTACAACTTGGCCTGCAATATCATGCAGGGCGAAGCTCGAATCTCACTTGCGCGGCGTCTTCCAGCATTTAGTGCGGCTCGTTGTGAAGGGGCACGAGCTCGTGAGCAATGACATGCTGGGGTCTTTCCTCTGCAATTTCTCCGTGCGCATGTCTCAATGATGCTCAATATAGTCATGGCTACCTGTGGTACGTTTGAGAAGCCGCGGATATACGACTCCAAACCCGTTTATATAAGACAACGGGAGATAGTGAGAGAACTAATCCGGGGCACATCTGCTACATCAATACACAGTCATTACGCAGGCGGGCACTACCAGACACTTCCAAGGAAGAGCGACCGCCATGCCATTATCCATGTGCGTTCACAACTCTGTCCGCATCAGAAAGAGATGGTGCGTGACGGTCGTCCCAAATATATGCCACTCACATGATCCAACTGCTGGCCTGGCCTCGTCTAGATGATCACGCTTCTTGCCGACAATCGGCATCGCACGATGCCACAGCAACGCCGCAACGCCCAGCCGACTAGAACCGCTCTCAAGCACAGGCAACATCCGATTGTAAAAATGTGGACGGTCACGAGCTGCCCTTCACCTCTGGCCCCCCCCCCAAGAAACTGGCCTTGCTGTGGGCGCCGCCAACCGAATTGACTATCTCTGCTCCAACGAATCGGACGACGTTCTTCTGCGGGGGCAGCCGTCGGAGGATGGCGATCTCCTGCCCGGCGTCCAACCGTTGTTGCCACCCACTTGTTCATGGGCGTCCAAACAATGGCATGCGATTTGCCAAGATTCCCCTCAGCTCGATTCCCATACTGGGCCGCCGGTATACCCATTTGACCAATGTTAATCTAAAGATTGACTACTGGGATGCAGTGATGCCGTGAACGTGTTGGTACCATTGCTATGAGCATGCAGGCCACGCAATACAAGCCCAACACAAAACTACACAGCGCATAGCAACGCGACGCAACTAAAAAACGGCAACATCGGCTTACAACGCAAAGCGCAATGTTACGTACCAGAAGTGCTTGCAAGACGGGACCGCGACGTGCGCGCATCGTCTCATGGAACGCAATTTGTTGTGAACGCTGCGTTGGAAGTTCCTGCGTGGCTCGGCCCATGGGACAATTCCGAATGTGGCCGTCGACGGACAGGCACCACTGACCACGAGAAAGACGCAGACGGAGTGATGTAGGAACACATGGGGATATGGACGAAGGGAACTGGCGTGGAATCAGTAATGTCTGGTAGTGGCAGAGGGGAAAACAAGGAACCAGAGAAGAGAAACAATGAAGAACAACAACGTGGCCATACATGGAAAAACAAAAAAAACGGTAAAGAAGGTATCGCTGGCATGGGGGGGGGGGGGACGGGAGCTTGGAGGAGAGGGGGGAACGGAGACAGATAATGTACAGAGGACTCATTTCTAATTCCTCTCATTTCAAATTCCGCTCAGTTCTAATTCCTCCTGCGAATTGCAAATGAGAGGTGATAAAGACCTGCTCGCTTGCTTCCTAGGCGTGTCGCCTGCTAGCTGCAATCTGATGCCGCCAGCGGCCCTGGCATCGAAATCTGATGCCGCCAGAAGCCCTTGGCATCGAAATCTGACGCGGCGGACGCCCCGACGTCAAAATTTGATGCCGCCGGGGGCCCCCGCATCAAAATCTGATGCCGCCAGGGACCCAGCATCGAAATCTGATGCCGCAGGGGCCCCGGCATCAAAATCTGATGCCGCCAAGGGGTCCCGGGCATCAAAATCTGAGGCCGCCAAGGGCCCCGGCATCAAAATTTGATGCCGCCAAGGGGCCCCGGCAATAAAATCTGATGCCGCGAAGGCCCCGGCATCAAAATCTGATGCCGCCAGGGACCCCGGCATCAAAATCTGAAGCCGCCAGGGGGCCCTGGCATCAAAATCTGATGCCGTCAGGGGCCCCGGCATCAAAATCAGATGCCGCCAAAAGCCCTCGGCATCAAAATCTGATGCCGCCAAGGGCCCAGCATCAAAATCTGAGGCCGCCAAGGGGTCCCGGGCATCAAAATCTGAGGCCGCCAAGGGCCCCGGCATCAAAATTTGATGCCGCCAAGGGGCCCCGGCAATAAAATCTGATGCCGCGAAGGCCCCGGCATTAAAATCTGATGCCGCCAGGGACCCCGGCATCAAAATCTGAAGCCGCCAGGGGGCCCTGGCATCAAAATCTGATGCCGTCAGGGGCCCCGGCATCAAAATCAGATGCCGCCAAAAGCCCTCGGCATCAAAATCTGATGCCGCCAGGGGCCCAAGCATCAAAATCTGAGGCCGCCAGGGGCCCCGGCATCAAAATCTGAGGCCGCCAAGGGCCCCTGGCATCAGAAATCTGATGCCGCCAGGGGCCCCGGCATCAAAATCTGATGCCGTCAGGGGCCCTGGCATCAAAATCCGCCGATCTGGCGTGTGAGTTCCTGAGAGCGTGGGCTTGAGCTCGCTCAAGCTTCGCTCTGGCGAGGGGGGGGGGGGGGCTGACGCGAGCTGACGCGGGCTGACGTTTTTCCGGCCCCGGGACCCGGGACCCGCGACCCGGGACCGGCGCGGGACCCGAGACCCAGGACCGGCGCGGGACCCGGGGCCCGGCACCCGGAATCGTCCCGGGACCCGACCGGCGCGAGACCCGGGACCCGCGACCCGGGACCGGAGCGGAACCCGGGACGCGGCCAGGATCCGGGACGGGCGCAGGACCCCGGACCCGGAACCGGCGCGAGCCCCAGGACCCGGCACCGGCGCGGGACCCGTTAAGGGGTGGGTCACGCGAACTGACGCGGGCTGACGTTTTTCCGGCCCCGGGACCCGGGACCCGCGACCCGAGGCCGGCGCGGGATCGGAGACCCGGGACCGGCGCGGGACCCGGGACCCGGCACCCGGGATCGTCCCGGGACCCGACCGGCGCGAGACACGGGACCCGCGCAAAGCGGAACCCGGGACGCAGCCAGGACGACCGCTGCGGGACCCGGGACCCGGAACGGGCGCAGGACCCGGGACCCGGAACCGGCGCGAGCCCCAGGACCCAGCACCGGCGCGCGGTCACGCGAGCTGAATAAGCGGGCTGATGTTTTTCCGGCCCCGGGACCCGGGACCCGCAACCCGGGACCGGCGCGGGACCCGAGACCCGGGACCGGCGCGGGACCTGGGAGCCGCGGCACCCGGGATCGTCCCGGGACCCGACCGGCGCGAGACCCGGGACCCGCGACCCGGGACCAGAGCGGAACCCGGGACCCGCCAGGACCCGGGACCCGGGACGGGCGCAAGACCCGGGACCCGGAACCGGCGCGAGCCCCAGGACCCGGCACCAGCGCGGGATCCGTTCTGGCGAGGGGGGGGAGGCTGACGCGAGCTGACGCGGGCTGACGTTTTTCCGGCCCCGGGACCCGGGACCCGGGACCGGCGCGGGATCGGAGACCCGGGACCGGCGCGGGACCCGGGACCCGGCGCCCGGGATCGTCCCGGGACCCGACCCGCGTCCCGGGAACGGAGCAGAACCCAGGACCTGGCCGGGACGACCGCCGTGGGACCCGGGACCCGGGACGGGCGCAGGACCCGGGACCCCCAGGACCCGGCACCGGCGCGGGATCCGGTTCTGGCGAGGGGGGGGGTCAAGTTTTCCCGGCCCCGGAACCCGGGACCCGCGACCCACGATCGGCGCGGGACCCGAGACCCGGGACTGGCGCGGGACCCGGGACCCGGCACCCGGGATCGTCCCGGGACCCGACCGGCGCGAGACCCGAGGGACCCGCGACCCGGGACTGGAGCGGAACCCGGGACCCCGCCGGGAAGACCGCCGCGGGACCCGGGACCCGGGACGGGCGCAGGACCGGGGACCCGGAACCGGCGCGAGCCCCAGGACCCGGCACCGGCGCGGGACCCAGGACCTGGGACGAGCGCGGGCCCCGGACCCGGGACGAGCGCGGGACCTGGAACCCGGGACCGGCACGAGACCCGCGGGACCAGCGCGGGACCCGGGACCCGGACCTGGGAGTGGCGCGCTTTGATGAACGGCGGATTATATCTTAGATATAAGTTGAGGACGTGAGTTACTAATCGACTTAGGCGACTTACGAAGTCGAGATATAAGTCGACTTAGGTCGACTTAGCATAACCGAGTTAGGTGATCGACTTAGGTCAGCTTATAAGTTGAGTTATAGTCTAAAAGCTAAGTCGACAACCGACTTATAAGTCGACTTAGAAGTCGAGTTATAACTCGAAGTTGTCGACTTAGTAAGTCGAACTACTCCGACTTACTAAGTCGAACTATTTCGACTTACTAAGTCGAACTATTTCGACTTACTAAGTCGAATTAGCCCCGAGTTAGTATGTGCAAAGTAAATCCTCGATGTGTGGTTTTCTATTCATTCATCATGGGATTCAGTCATCTACTACAGCGTTTCACACATACGCTTACATATTTTCACTTTCGTATACACATCGTTTTGTACATATGCGCGCGTAAGGTGTGTTCACGCATTGCGATGCAGATAACGCGCGCGCACGTACACATGCGCATGTATGCACATGCACGATCATATGTCGATGTCAATATCAATATCGATGCATGCGCGCGCCGCCTGCGATACTCTTATCAGCAGTAGCGCGACGCGCGTCCCCCTGCTTTTTGATTGTATGTTCTACGGGTCGCACGAGCACCCCGCGATTGAAGAGAAGAAGGAGGCGCGCCGCGCGTATGCACATGTGTGTCATTTTTGATGGTTGTTAAACTTTTTCCTAAAAAAAACTTGTCTTCCTTGTCGCGATGCAGACGAGAAAGAAAAGAAACGCAGAGCGGAAGCGCTGAAGGCGCGTGCACTTTACGTTCGCGAACTGTTCCGCCCTTGCCCCCACAAAATAACGGATCGTGAAACGATCTTGTTACGCTCGCGAGTGACGTGAGCAGCCATTACATTACAAGAAGGGGCGCCCCTTGCAGTGAGAAGACAAGGGGGAGGGGGGGGGGGGGGGGGAGAGAGAGAGAGAGAGAGAGAGAGAGAGAGAGAGAGAGAGAGGAGAGAGAGAGAGAGAGAGAGAGAGAGAGAGAGAGAGGAGAGAGAAGAGAGAGAGAGAGAGAGAGAGAGAGAGAGAAGGAGAGAGAGAGAGAGAGAGAGAGAGAGAGAGAGAGAGAGAGAGAGAGAGAGAGAGAGAGAGAGAGAGAGAGAGAGAGAAAGAGAGAGAGATGATGAAGATGATGATGATGATGATGACGATGACGATGATGATGATGACGACGACGATGATGAAGGTGATGATGGTGATGATGACGACGACGATGATGGTAACTCGTACGGTCGCGGATTGTTCTTGCCTTAGAGAGCCTCGCCCTCCTCCTCCCCCTCCTCGCTCCACCGCGGTGCAGGACATCGATGGTCGAAGAGGACATCGATTATCGTTGTGGGGGTGGGGGTATATAGGGGTGGGGGAGGATCGGTCTGGTCGGTCGGAGCGGCGGGCGGCGCGCGCGCGCCGCCCGCCCCTCCGTGCGACAAGTACCAGGCACCGCGGCCCCCTCCCACCGCGACCGCCCTCGTCCTCCCTCTTTCCTCGCCTCCAGCTCCTCTTCCTCGTCGTCGGCATCCTCCTCTTCCTCGTTCCCCTTATCATGTCCCATCCCTCCTTGTACCAGTCATTATTCATCCCCCTCCTCTCTTCTCCCTCCTCTCCTTATCAGTATCAGTGTCCTCCCCCTTCTCCTCCTC